GGATTTTCCACTAAGATGTAGACCCTGCAGCTGAGTTCTACCACAGCTGAAGACATTGTGTGGTCTGGGGCATATTTTTTCTCTTGCAGGACATTAATTTTTTCTTACCTGGCAATTGAAGGGAGCTGCTGTGTGAGGAGTTTGTCTTGTTATGATTTTGAGTCCCTTGGGATGGTGAGCTGTCTCAGGCTTGACTGAACTGCACAGCCCTCTGCCATCCCCGGTCCACCTTTGCTCATTCATTCATTATGTTCCTGACGCTGCTTATTCTTTTTTTTTTTTAAAGATTTATTTATTGTTATTGGAAAGGTGGATTTACAGAGAGAAAGGGAGATAAGAAAGAGAAAGATCTCCTGTCCCCTGGTTCACTCCCCAAATGTCCTCAATGGCAGGAGCTGAGTCAAACAGAAGCCAGGAGCCAGAAGCTTCTGCTGCGTCTCGCATGCCGGCACAGGTTCCCAAGGCTCTGAGCCATCCTCGACTGCTTTCCTAGACCATAAGCAGGGAGCTGGATTGGAAGTGCAGCAGTTGGAACATGAACCCGTGCCTATATGGGAGGCTGGCACTTGCAGGATTAAACCATCGCACCACTGCCTATTCTATAGTTCTTTCTTGTAGTAACTGCCTCTCTTCTCACTCCATACACATTTCCTACTGAAGAAAAAAATAGGAATATAAGGGACAAAATTAAGACTGCTGTCTACAATAGCTGAGAACTGGGCAGGAAATGGAGTGACGACTCAAACCTAGATGTCTGGATGTTGGATGTGGATTTGATGTGGGTAGCCCAAGCGGGACCTTTTTCTGGTGCATCACAGCATCCCCCCTCCAATCATAAATAAAATGGAAGCTTTACTAAGATACAGACAAGTGAATACTAGGAAAACAAGATTCATCCTATGATTCATATGACTTTCTGCATCATATTTACCAATAATTGGGCCATTTAAAGATCTTTGAGTAGGAGCCAGAGTGGTGGTGTTGTATGTTAATCCTATACCTGTAGTGCTGGCATCCAATATGGGCTCTGGTGGTGTTCCAGCTGTTCTACTTCCAAATCTCACTCCCTGCTAATGACCTGCGAAAGTAGTGGAGGATGGCCCAAGTCCTTGAGCTCTTGCACCCACGTGGGAAACTGGATTTCCTGGTTTTGGATCAGCTCACTTCCGTTCATTGTAACCATTTGAGGAGTGAACCAGTGGATGGGAGATCTCTCTCTTCCTCTTCCACTTTCTCTCTGTGTCCCTTTTTCTCTCTCTGTAAATCTATCAAGTAAAAATAAGTCTTTCTTTATATGTGGAGAAAGAGACAGAGAAGCTCAGGCAACCATGGAATGAAAAAAAGACTTCCAGGTAGAGGATCTGAAATCTACAGCACACGTGCGTATTATGTTTTAATTAATGGGTTTACGCTGTATAATTTAGGTTGATCACAGTCAGTCAAGTGCTTTTACCACAGTGGGATTTCTTTCTATCTGCAACCCTTTCTATCCTGCAAACACCAAGAGATTGGGTAAATAAGCTGTGTGTCTCCAGGCACAGGTTTTAGCATTAACCTAATTTTCAAATGGCCGTGGGAGGTAGGAATTACTGTTGAGATTCCTTAAAAGTTTAAAAAAAAAAAGATTTAAAAATAGCAGGGTGGGCCCAGCGCGATGGCGCAGTGGTTAAGATCCTTGCCTTGCACGCCCGGGATCCCATATGGGCGCCGGTTCTAATCCCAGCGGCCCTGCTTCCCATCCAGCTCCCTGCCTGTGGGCCAGGAAAGCAGTGGAGGATGGCCCAAAGCTTTGGGACCCTGCACCCGCGTGGGAGACCCGGAAGAGGCTCCTGGCTTCGGATTGGCTCAGCTCCAGCCGCTGCGGCCGCCTGGGGAGTGAATCATCAGATGGAAGATCTTCCTCTCTGTCTCTCCTCTCTGTATATCCACCTTTCCAATAAAAATAAAATAAATTAAAAAAAAAAACAGGGTGTCAGAATTGGGCTCCTGTCAGTACCTGATCAGGACTATTAACACCAAACCCATTGCTTATGTCATGAGGTTTCCAAAGCTCTTTCCTCTTCCATCTGAGACAGTATCTAGTCTCATAACTATGGTGTACAGCTTAAGATCCTGGAAGTTGCCATTCCTAAAGTAGCATGCATTTGATTTTTTAAAAAGATTTATTTATTTTTATTGGGAAGTCAGATATACACAGAGAAGGAGAGACAAGAGAGGAAGATCTTCCATTTGCTGATTCACTCCCCAAGTGAGCGCAACAGCCAGAGCTGACCTGATCCGAAGCCAGGAGCTTCTGGGTCTCCCACATGGGCACAGAGTTCCGAGGCTTTGGGCCATCCCAGGCTACAAGCAGTGAGCTAGATGGGAAGTGGGGCAGCTGGGACACGAACTGACACCCATATGGGATCCTGGTGCATACAAGGTGAGGACTTTAGCTACTAGGCCACTGTGTTGAGTCCACATTTGATTTTTATATAAAACCTCTTACTACTGCCTTTTATATAAAACCTCTTACGCACATGCCTTCATATTAAAAAAAGGCCCCAAAATATAACTCCAGTTTTTCTGTTGTGGAAGAAAAATCCGTATCAGCATACATGTTAGTGTGGCTTCTGGCTTCAGATTGGTGCAGTACCAGCCATTACGGCCCCTTGGGGAGTGAATCATCGGCTGGAAGATCTTCCTCTCTGTCTCTCCTCTTCTCTGTATGTCTGACTTTCTAATAAAAAATAAAACTTAATCTGGAATTACTTTCATAATCCATTGTCTGCCTTTGACCATCTTGACTTTTCTGCCTTCACGCGGCCCCCACCACCTCCTTCTACCTCCCAGCTCATTTCAGATCTTAAACATTATTACGGTGTAAACCTTTTTTGTTAATTTAAATAGAGTAGATTAAATATGTTAAAGCATTCCTAACCTCTCAAAGTTTTCATTTTAGCAGGCATCAAGTGGAAAGGATTTTTTTTTAATCCCAGAAGCAATTGTCTGTTTTTACTGATTCTGGTGAATGTATTTGCTGTTTAATTAAGTGAAACATTTCCAGAGAGCTGTCTGGATTCACTCTTCCAGCTCATAGGGCACATACTAATCTCAAACTGAGAAAACGATTAGATGATTATTTCCTGTTCATGCACCAGGTCAATAAAATTATGGAGATTAAGCAAGGAAATCAGATGTTTGACAGCGGTTGATGGTGGCGAACCTGTGATCACCTTCAAACAGGAAGTCCACGGGCTGCTGTATATATTTGCATGTGCTTATCTCCGGGGCTTGCATTCCCCACTTCTCAACCTGTTTGGAGCTCTGGGTCGAGCTGGAGTTTGAAGTAACAAGTGACAACAAACCAAGTGTGTGTGGAATTTCCTATCACTCAGGGAACAGCAAAACTAGATTCTCCTAGATTCTATTTGTCTTGACGAGATGTCCACTGATTTTAGAACTTCTAGGGCCATTTCTTCTATTGATGTTTAAAAGCCCTTGGATCTTTCTCTTTGAAACACTAGCTTGCAGAGCCTCCATTCTTCCTTCTTTCCACCCTTCTCTTTTTTCCTTCCATCCCTTTCTTCTTAATTTGCTTTGGAGCAGAGCAGATAATGAATTGAACTTCTATATGAACATTTCACAAAACGTATTCAACTTCGTAAGTGGGTTGTTCCTGATGAATTACATAGTGGTGAATGTCTGTTTTCCATTGGAGACTAGACATAGTAAGTGTTCAATGAAGTATTTACTGAATGAATGAGTGTGTGGAGGATAAACTGAGTATAACGCTAATACGTGTTAATATTGTACCTTTTCTTACTGTGTAGCTGTGATGACAGCCTAGGTTCCCAATTCTGGATTTCAGCTCAGCTATTTGTCACAAATGTGACAACTGTAATTGAAAAAATCATTTTAGAATGCTGGGATCAGCCATGTATTTTACAAAGTTAAAGCTCATGAGTTTTTGTTGCAGTGTAGCCCTCACTGGCACATTTCTTTTGTCTCTCAGTACCTTTGAAACATTTGGATTTTGACCATAGATTTCATAATAAATTGAGTCATGCAATTATAATACAATGATGCATGTTTTTTCCATGCCCGAACCACACATTGAAGACAAACTGTGAAATTGAAGCAAGATTGGGAAATTTACACTCAATCAAATGAAACCAGTAGGATGTTTAGTTGTGCTTTTTCTTTGTGTTTCTATTCCAGAAATAATAACATTTAAATCTGAAATCAAGAAACGAAAGCAAACACATTGTTTTCTGTTGAAGTGAGGGTAGGAAACGGAGTTGGAATTAACCCCAGGGAGGTGACAGGGAGGAATATGAGGTGCGTGAGGACGCTGCAGAGTTTAATCCACAATGTGGAAATAGCCTAGTTGTGTGTATTCCTGGGCTGGCCAGTCTCACTGTTGGGAAGTAGGGTGGGCTCGGGGGCCTGTGTAAGACTGGCCCACATTTTCCAGAACAGCTGGATGACTGCTGCTGGCCCCGAAGGGGTCTCAGAGAGCAGCTTGCAAACTGTAGGAATTCTAGAAATGCAGCAACCTCCTGTGCACCAGCCGCAGTGGGACTCCTCAGATAAAGAATCCTCTGGACTGCCAGCCTGTGCTTAAAGACACTAGTTCAGGAAGACAAATGAGACGGCATCCAACACCAGCTGAGCTTCTGGTGGATTTTTCAGGGATATCTTTTAGAAATGCAAATTGTGACAACTTTTGACCTATGGAGCAATACTTGTTCAGGCAGTGCGTTAAAATACTTGAATTAAGGATGACCCAGAAAATATACTTGGATTACTAGAAATGGTACCCTAAATTTATTTAGAGTCCTTTGAATGATAGTCAATATTCTTTATATTAGCAATTTATTATTCCATTAGAGATAAATGTTAGTATTTGCTTGCTGAAATAGATGTATAAAGTCAATTTTGTCTATGTTAATTATTCAAAATATCTGAAAACACACACACAATCCAAATAAAGATTGATTTTTCTCCGTTTTACTTTGAAAGGAATGCAATGTTAATTCTGGGGCATTGATGTTTTACAATGCCTGATCAAGACAGAAAGGAGAAGACCACAGAAAAATCAACCGATAAGCAACAGCAAGCGATCGGCACCAGGTAATTATTAATGAAGGCAGCGGGCACTGAACAGACTCAGTGGCTTTTCTGAGAAATAAAATAGATGCTTGACAACTGCTCCTCTGGGTTACAGTGTTTACTGAAACACTGGATCATTTGTAGAGTTCTAAAGGATATGGTTGGAACATACCCATTTTGGTCTATGAAGGAGGCCTTCACGTGGCCTTGACATAGCGGGGGACATGACCGTGTTCTCCTGGGGCTTTTTGTTGGTTGATGTTGTGTTGTTCTTTCTCCTAGGGACTATTCAGACCTTAAGAGACTTCGGTGCCTTTTGAACGTTCAGTCGAGCAAACAACAGGTAGTGTTTTCCAAAGAGCATGTGTGTGTTTCTAAAAGAGAAATCTTAGGTTTTTGCACAGATCCATTTAACGTCTTTATGAATGTGAAGTATCAAGTTTCTTTGTTCTTCCACACCTCTTCTCTTTCTCCCTCTGAGGACTCTGGCTTACTCTACCAAGACTTGGCTGCCACAACCCTTTTTTGTTCTCTCGGACATGCACCTGTATACCCCTGACTCCTCCCAGCGCTGCCCTTGCTGCTATACCAAGGTCATGAGGTCTGCCACACATGGTAGCCCACCCAGAAGAAGGCAGAGTGTTGAGTTGTGACTATATTTTTATAATACCATCTTAATATTTTTGTAGACATGGAAAAAATGGTACTTGTGCTTGGATTTATCCCTCAGCTTTTCTTCTTGGTTTTGGTTTTGTAAGCCTTTGGAAAATCATGAGATTAAAGACCCTCTATGGAGGTTTGGAAAACAGATGCTCTGCTGATCATAGTGGTAATAGCAGCCACTTATTAGCACTGTCAACTATCAAGGGCAGGGATGAAGCTTAAATCCAGATGATGTGCCTAAAAAGTGTATTCCATTGTATTTGTTTAGAAGTTCATGTGCTTGGTTACTTAGTGCTCGTGGTTTTTGTAAAAGCAGTTCTACCAGAGAATGATGAAATTGCTATCTATTTATTTATCTTGGAGAATAACTTCCTCTGTTCCCCCAGTATTTATTTATTTATTTGAAACACAGAATTACAGAGAGAGAGAGAGAGAGAGAGAGAGAGAGAGAGAGGGAAAGAGAGAGAGGTGTTCTACCTATTGGTTCACTGCTTAAATTTTTGTAATGATTGGGGCTCTGCCAAGCAAAAACCTGAAGCCTCTTCCAGGTTTTCACATGGGTGCAGGGGCCTAAGCACTTGGGCCATGTTCCACTGCTTTCCCAAGTACATCAGCAGAGATCTGGATCAGAAGTGGAACAGCCCAGACTCACACTGATGCCTGCATGACTTGCTGGTGCTGCTTGTGGTAGATTTACTCACTTTGCGGAAGGACTGGTCTTTCCAATGGCTTGATCGTGTATAAAGGGTAAAATAATGATAGTTTGTATCTGGGGACTACTGGCTATATACCTAATATTTTACCTGCATTGTCCTGCTTACAAATGCGACTCTTCTGCAGTTGAGGAGATTAAGGCACAGAGAAATTAGTAGCGCCAAGGATAGTTCTGAATGCTGATGGCCCCACTTCGTAATAGATACTTCTAACCACTGAGATATTTTTGACTGACTTGGGAAATTAAACTGCAATTGAAGAAATAGCGGTGTGATCATTGATGTGAAAGAAACATGGCCTGAAACTTTCTTTTCTCCTGCGAGTCCCTTCTTCCATGCGCTTCGTGCTGTGAGTCCTCAGGAACTCTTGGCTTCTTGTCTGTTTCAGCAGTCACCCTTCCTCCTCTGCCTTCCTTTATCCTGCCAAAATGATCGTGCTGACTTCCTGCTCTCAGTGCTTTCTGGATGACAGCCCACACCAAGTTCATCCTGTCTTGGAGAAATAACCAAGACGACAGCACGCAGTCCTGGTTGTATTTCACATTCTTGTGTGTTCTGCAGTGTAACCATCAGATCAACAGCTTCTGCATTTTGCTCTCACTAATACTTTCTTCTAGTTTTTGTTTTTTTCTTTTCCTGTAAAATCTTGCCTAATTCCAAGGCCAAATCTTGTAATACTACCTGCATAGCTCCTCCATTTTGTAAGTGACATCTCTCTTCCCAAAGTGATTCCTTGCACTGGTGTAGTATTTTCTTCTTCCTTGCCTTGGAATCTGCTGTCTACATATGATTTCCTAATAGGATCATATCATACATTGCCCAATCCCTGCAACTTTGACTTTTGCCTCTGTTGCACTGTTGCCTTTGCTTGGAAAGTTCTTGAACAGTTTTTGCTAAATTGACTTGTGACCTAAGAACTGGATCACTGTAAAAGGATGAATAATCCCCTGGCCATGGCAGAAGAAATACTAGTGGGGTTGTTTTGACATTAATTTTTCAGTTTTGAAGTTCATGCTGACTAGATCTACTGTGTTCCCTTTCAACATCACTTCTGTGTTAACATCTGGCAAACTTAATTTGATGATTTCCTCCCTCCCTTAGCCAATTTTAGAACTTACAATCTGTTGTCTGACAAGTTCACGTGTCAAACTTCTTGGTAAAGTATTTCACAACAACAGAAGTGTGTATTTGCAATGGTTGAATTATTCCAAAGGTAGACGGTTCTAAGCAAAAAAGGAAAACAATTGTCCTCAACTAGATGCAGATTCTGAGGTTCACAAATTCACGTCCAATTCTGTATATAAAACCTTTATGCGTTGTCATTCCAAAACAATAAATGTCATTGTGAGCACCCTGTTCTAGCTGGGAAATTATGTGGAGACATTTATAGGAGAAGGAAGGTATTAGAGAGACTAACTTGGGAATTTATTTATACCTTGGTTGGTCCAGAAGGAATGTTGGGATCATAAAGTACAACCCTTTATCATGCATTAAAACCAAGCCCAAGACAAAGGGAAAACAAACGGTGACCGTGGAGTCAGGGGCAGGCCGAAAGAACCAACAAACTATACAAAGAGGCCACATATTTGACTCTGAGACTTCTATCATCCTTCAGTTAAGGGAATCCTGGGATTAAGTTTCACTCACCTGAATTTCTGCTCTAAGACATGACCTGTTTATTTGTAATTGGGCCAAGATGGCCAATTACCAGTTACAGAAGAACTCTTCCTCATGGGTTTAGGCAGGGAACTGTAGAGAAGTGAATGTCCTTTCTCTGAATCTGTGCTGAGCCAGGCTGTGGTCCTCGTGCTTTCATTGTGTTTCAGCATTGTCCTGATTGTTCTCTGTAGATCTCTATTTTTTCTTTACTTCTTTTTTTTTTTTTTTTTTTGGCTTTCAGACATTTTGTTTATTTGAAAGGCAGGGGCAGACACACACAGCACACATGTGCACACACAGAGATCTTCCTTCGGTGGTTTCCTCCCTGAATGGCTGTAATGCTCATGGCCGGACCAGGTTGGACCACGATGGTCCAGGAACCAGTGTCTCCTATGTAGGTGGCAGGGGCCCAAGTACTTGGGCTGCATTCTGACCTCTGCACTTTGGCAGACAGTTAGCTCACAGGTGGGGCAGCCAGGACTTGAATCATTGCTGTCATATGAGATGCTGGTGAATTAGGGGCCACTTAATCAGCTGTGCCACAACATTGGCCTCAGCTCTGCATTTCTTGCTTACCACAGGGCCTAATGTGTTCTTCCCCTACTCCCAAAGAAATATTTGCTTATGTGTTTCAAATCAGAGAGATCTTCTTTCCACTTGTTCACTCCTCATATGGGTGCAATGGTCAGGCCAGAGTTGGGCCAGGCGGCTGGAACTTCATTTGGGTCTCCTGTAAGAGTAACAGGGACTCAGATATTTGGGTCATCTTCTGCTGCTTCCAGAAGCTGGATTGGATATGGAGCAACCAGGACATGAACTGGTACCCATATAGGACATTGGCATCACTGCAACACAGTGTTGGCTCCGAGACCAATATTCTAATGTAAGACAGTCCCATGATGTGACAAAAAATGGGGACAGACATTTGGACACAGAGATGCTGGTTTCAACATAAATAAGATTATAATAATCATAACCCAACTTTGAATAGTTCAAATGCATGTCGGTTTAAAAAGTTTTCCTCCAAAAACCTGCACTCATAAATTTTAATAAGCAGTATTTCAATATTGCATTAGAAGAATAATTCCAGCCCAATAAAGCCAAACAATTCAAGAAAAAGGGCTGATTTAGAGTTGTTAGTGAACATGATGAAATTATGATGCCAGTTGCCAATTGCTAGAGATTTTCGTAAATCTTGCCTGCTAGAATTCAGATCTCTCCTCCCACATTTAGAGTCACAGGAAATAAAAACTCTTTAAAAATAATTTTAGAAATGGATGAAAGGAAAAATTCATGACAAATACATTAATTGCCTTGAAATAAAAGAGTGTTTGAATATTTTTAGAAAGATTTATTAATTGGAGAGGCAGAGCAAGGAAGAGAGAGAATTAGATAGAGATTTTCCAAGTGCTGGTTAATTCCCCCAAAGGTCACAACAGTCAGTTCTGGACCAGGCTGAAGCCAGGAGGCAGGAGCTGGGAACTACATCCAGGTTTTCCATTTGGGCGGCCTGAACCGTTTTCTGCTGCCTTCGCAGGCACATTGGCAGGGAACTCTATCAGAAGTGGAGCAGCTGGGATTCAGTGTCTCTAAGTGGTACTCTGATGGGTGATGCTGGCATCAAAAGCAGTGTTTTTTAAATCCATTTGCACAACAGTGCTGGTCCCAGTGAAAATCGTCCTGATAGATGTTACAGGAAGACAACCTTTGAAAGAATAGACATAGGCACGGGTAATCATGGTAACAGGGAAGACACCATCCTGAATGAAATGTGAAATGTGGATTGGTTTCCATTTCCTTCAGTTCCAATCATGGGACACATATCCTAGGTAAAATGTGAGATAGTTTAATAACTGAAAGAAGGAAAATGACAGGTGCAAATGATGACCAGATAATTCTCTTGGAAGTAGCAATAAGCAAAGCTAGAACTTACACAGCCTTGTGTGAAGGCCCATTTGTGAGTTATATACTCGGTCCTGCAATGGACAGAGACTTTGAGGCAGGAGCACATGGTCAAACTGATAGGAGAGTTTTGCTTGGTGCAGCCTTTGCTTCAGTCTCTTCTTTCCTTCCCACTCCTACTGTCCAGGCTACAGATACCTTCCAGTATCTAGAGCCTGCATACTTCTTTCTTCTCTACCATCCAAACCAAGTGACAGCCTGCCTGAAGTGCTCGGGATTGCTCTTGACATCTGTGTCCATGGCCCTCCCCATCTCTCCTTCACTTTCTAGAAAAACAAGCTCCTGCTTCCTAATTTTGCAGCGTGTTCCTGATGCTCATTATCTGACTCCAACCCCTGCCCTTCCGATCCATCAACGGACCTGTGAGCTCCTTGAAGACAGAGGACACAATTACTAACACATCTAGTGTCGTACACCACACCTGCTTTACAATGTGCCTGAGACACATGTACCAAGAGGGTGAACACATCTGGAAGTGATTTAACTAAATGATTCAGCAAAGAGACGAGGAATAAAGTTAACACTCATTCTATAGCTTTCCGTTTGAGTACCTTATGGGCCTGGGTTAAGAACAGGGCCCCGAATTTCCACAGCTTCTGTCCCAAAAGGTTGGTTGCTTCACATTTGCTGATACTAAAATTCTGACATTTGCAACTAGGAATGACTGAATCTACTTTCCCATCTAGTCTCCATTCGTTCATTCTCCAAATGAGTGGTCTGTCTGCCCTGCCCACAAAATCAAAACAATAGCTTCAAAGACTGCTAGTACCCAGTCCTCATGCTCCCCAACCTACGCACCCAGGGCTGGATCCCCTGTACTGCTCTCAGTGCTTGGGAATGAGAACTGAGCAAAAACCAGGTAAGTTCCTGCCTGTGTAGGGGTCACAGTAAAATTGAGAGAGACAGAAAAAGATTCAAATTGCTGTCCAGGGTGATGAGTGGTGTGGTAAAGTACGGAGGAAAACAGAGCAGCTTCAAGTAGACATTGTAGATGTTGAAGTCAAAGGGTGCTCAGCTCTTTGAAAATCACTGCTTTGGACTTAACTATTATCTTTATTGTTTTTTTTCACTTTCCCTTCTCCCTTTCCCCATTGTGTTACTTCCGTTGCCCTATGCTAGAGTGAGTTCTCATGCGCTTTGTGCTTCTATTTCTGTAGCTTCCAGCCATTAACTTCGATAGTGCCCAAAATAGCATGACAAGGTCTGAGGTCGCCGTCAAGGTGGGTGGACAAAGAGCCCGGGGCCAATGGCATGAATCCACAGAAGCTGTTGAACTTGAAAATTTTAGGTAAGAAATCCCTTACTTGCAACAATCTATTCTCATCAGCCTGATTTTTTTTTTTTTAATCATAGACTGAAACTTGAAACGTGCTTCAAAATTTACCAAGGAGATTCTAAACTTAATTACTTGGAGCTCGATCCATTCCCAGAAATGATGTGCAAATAACAGGTTTAATGGTCACAGGGGGAACTGACCTGGGACTTGCGGGACACTCTGCTGACATGCACTTGGTTTGCTCAATGAGGAAGTGGTTCCAGGTTGTTGGCCTGGCTAGGTTGACTCCTAGCTTTGTTTTAGTCTGTTGGCTTCTTGCTGACAGTGAGAACGCATGAAGGAAGTGGTTGCTGTGAGTTGACGTGATGGTTAAAGATGGTGGTTGTCAAAAACAATGGAGTTTTTCAGTTGCAGGGAGAGCACCTCACCTTTAACAGCATAAGTGTCAGCTCGTGTTTATATCTGTTGCCAAGTAGACCTCCTGGAAACTGCACATTCTTTGGGCCACTCCCCTTCCAGGATCTGATTCTTCCAGTTTGATGAGGTACTCAGGTCACGTGACACTAAGTACCATTGCAAATAACGAATACTATAATGCCTTGTGAGAAGAGGGAATCCCAACCGTTACTTTAACTGCTGGCCAAATGCTCATCCACCAAAAATACGTATTTTCAAAGAGGAACACAAAATACTTTAAAAATTATTGCATATTTAATTTTCCAGTGTTCCTGTGCTAGGAGGTGAATATAGCTCTTGCTGGGCTAGCAAGGGAATGTGCCACGCAGTGGCATCTGGAAGACAGAAAAGAACAAAGACTGACAAGTGATACTTGCCCTGGGCACTATGGCAAACCCCAATATTTCTGCAATATTTGTCTTAATAAAGATCATGTTTATTTACACTTGTGACTTTAAGGCAGCCTAAATAATTTTTAAGACAAAATACGTTTCTTCTTGTTTCATCTCAGTATCAACTACAAGAATGAGAGGAACTTCAGCAAACACCCCCAGCATCAATTATTTCAGGAGATCTTCACAGCACTGGTGAAAAATAGACTCATTTGCAGGTGAGATTGTCAGAAAAACAACTGGTGTTTACTCAGTAATAGCATGTTTTGTGTATTTCATATCCACAGTATGACTTGGAGCGGTTTACAGGGTTGAATACCATGTATGTAAAGGATAAAACTGAGCAAAGGCCATTTAGGAGATGAATGAGTTAGGTTTTGCATTTCATCTTACTCTGGTTAGGTACTGTAGTAAGCTGAAATGATGACAGATAAAGTAAGCGTGCCTGTTGCATTATTTCCCTTCGTTTCCTTATTTTTGAGTTTGTATATACTCAAGGAGGAGTTCTTGGGTAAGAGGTGTTGGGTAACAACACCATGGCCACCATTCTCATGGCACAGTTTTGCAGTGGATGCAGTGATTGATGAAAGGGGCTCTTCCAGTCTTGGTCTTGAAGGAAGGAGGGAGGAGTGTATGACATTCAGTAGTAGCCTCCTAAGGAAGCTTCTTCTGAGGACAGACCAGATATCCCTGCCTTTGCGCTGTGCCCGGTCCCAGCACAGGTATGTTTTGTGTTATAGATGAAGGACGAGTTAACACTGATCTTTTGGATAGGGTCCATTCTTACCACATGTTTAAGCTCTGGACAGTAACTGCCAAATGGATGAGTTGAAGAAGATACACAATGGGACTGCAACTGCCATGTGTCTGTGCCTGGTTTATGGTGGTGATACCTCAGTTGGCCTGGATGACACAACAAGCCTGGGATCTTCATCAGGGTTGTGCACCTGGCTTCCCTGCTCACTTTCTGATGGTACACTGAAAGATTGTTGGACCTTTACTGAGAACCATGAAGGATCTGAACTTATCCTTGGTTGTTTTTTCTTGAGCTTTAACCAGGTAGAACAACGAGTAGCAAAAGAACTCTGCATGAAATGGTGCTAGGAATAAGTGTTCTTTAACTTTTTTAAAAGGATGGAATGGCACATGGCCATTTGTTAGGTCAGCACTTGGGGGAAAGTGCAAGATGTAGAAGCTGTTAGGGAAAACGACCTGGCAAGGGCTGACATCCACCAACTGAAGAACATCTTCACAGTCCTAAAGTCCAGAAACCTCTTTGCAGGGCTGTTGCAAATTCTCAGTGATGAATGAGGCATCCTGTAACATGAGCAGCCCCTGGGAATCTTAAGATCAGAAAGAGATCGTTGTAGATCTCTTTGCTTTCATAGTAGGAGAAGGAATTCAGGAATGCAGAGCATCCAGGGCATCCTCTTATGTCATCCTTTGTCCGCTGACAGATTGCTATGTTCAGCTCTATTCTAAAAACAGGGCTGGGTAAAAGACAGCTTAAGTATAAAGGTCTTCCATTGTCCCTCACCCCATATAACCTTGGTGAGATGACTAAGACCCCATTTCTCATTCCTTTGTTATGTTAGAATTACAGAATTACATCTCAAGGCCTTTTCTTCTATGGCCTCTCGTCCACTTTCCTTAGAATGTCAGATTGAAATTTGGATGGAAGCTTAGGTTCAGTTTCACAAGCAAGTTGATGAATTCCTGCCTTATGTAAGAAAGGAAAGAAGCAACAGGTAGAGGAAAAAGGAGGGGGCAAGAATTCAGATAACCGAGATAAGCATTTTTCCTGTTCTTGGGGACTCAAAGGTGTACTTTTTTCAGACAACTATCCACTGTTCCAACACAAGGAGAAAAGTGGTACATGTAAATAATTTGTATTTAGATGACTAAAGACTGTCTGGAACCAGGGGTTGGGAACATTAATCTTTGGTCCAATCCTGGTTATGGACAAGATGTACACATTAACATATAGGACTTGTGTTGTGACTTACAGGAATTTTAGTTTTACCCACCCCTTCTACTTCCTCCCTCAAGTTCTGCCCATTTGGTGATGACGCTGTTACGGCTCTTCTCTTCCACCCTCCCCATCTGTGGTCTTCCCTGAAGCTCTACTTGGTAGATGCCTCCTTTCTGGGTTCTTTGCCTGAGTGTGACCTGCACTCAATCCCTCTCATTCTCAGAAATGGAACTGCCCCATGGCATTTAGAATTAGACAGGACTTGTTAATCCAGAGTCGGATAAGGTAACACTGCAAATACCTCAAGGTAAATCTCAAAGGTCAAGGGAAAATTTTGACCCTGAACCTGAGATTGCTCTTCGTTACACAATGCTCGCTGATCTGGATGTGTGGCAGAGTAGGGAACTCTTTCTTCCACAACTTCATTTGTCTATAGAAGATTCTGAAATTAGAAAATAAATTCACTTCTTTTCCATCTCATTGGCCAGGACAGGGTGCTTGGTATCCAAGACCAGGTTGTTAGGAGGTGATAAGGAAAATGAAAGTTGTCACTATGTTGACATTTTTTTTTCTAATTAACTGAACGTTTATAAAATTGACCTGTACCAAACATCTCTTCTATTTGTTTCTTTGGGCTCCCCTTTCTTGGCCCATTCCACACTGATGTGATACAAATAATCTCATGAAATGCATTTGCAAATCTGGCTGAAAACATGGGATTTCATGAAGCTATTGAAAGGATGGTAATGTACTAATAGAATCTGAAAAGCGATGCTCTAGCAGAATTAGGCCACTTGATGACAAGATGAGACATTAAGAATAAGACTTGAACAACAGAGGTAGGAAGAAATTATTAGGGAAAGAAAGACTCATTTATAAATATTCAAAAAATGAAACTTTCCATGCTGCAAAAATAAAAATGAATTCAAGGAGGTTGGATAATGTCCTTTTTCAGAAAAAAAAAAATATAGGCCCAGAGTGCCAGCAGACTTTGTTCTTGTTTTGTTCTGGTTGCTAGAGAAGTATAAAATTTTATATTTGGCATTGTAAGATGTGAGATAAAATGTATCTTAGCTTCTTAATTTATTTTCAAGATAATTTTTAAAAAAATTATTTATTTATTTTTTCAATTGGAAAGTCAGATTTACAGAGAGAAGGAGAGTCAGAAAAATTTTCCATCTCCTGGTTCACTCCACAAGTGGTCCCGATGACTGGAACTAAGCTGATCCAAAGCCAGGAGCCAGGAGCTTGTTCTGGGTCTCCCACGCAGGTGCAGGGTTCCAAGGCTTTGGGCCATCCACGACTGTTTTCCCAGGCAACAAGCAGGGGACTGAAAGGAAAGTGGAGCAGCTGGGATTAGCACCAGCACCCATATGGGATCCCAGTGCCTGCAAGGCAAGGACTTTAGCCACTAGGCTATCGTGCCAGGTCCTTAAGATAATATTTTCTCTCTTCCTGTCTAAACAGGAAATTTGGTAATATTAAACCAGGTTTTCTTGGCTGGCCTTTCCTGGTCTTGTTGTCCTAGAACACTCAGACCATCCCTCTTCCCTTTCCTGTGACTTTTGTAGAAGTGAGTAGGCCGCCACCACTCTCCTTTCAGTTCGAGAGACATCTGTTCCGTTTAGCATGACTTTTTGTTTTTGCCCCCAAACTCACTCACTTTTTTGCAGTGGAGAAGTTAGTATTCTTGCTGTGTCTAATCTTCTGAAATATTTGCTCCCCTTTTAAAATATTTGAACATGAGTTTTGGGGAGAACTAGGTGAGGAACTAGGTGTTCACATACACGAAGGAACTCCTTGAACTGGGGAGAAACGTCTGGCCGAACTATCATAACCTTCATAGAAATTGCTACAGAAAGTGCTTTGAAAACTTTTTGGAAACTTCTCACCAAGAGGACTGCTGCAGTTACCTGTTTTTCAATGAGAGTATCCATTGCTGAGCACCAGGTTAGCAGCTGTTTTCCTTTTGAGCTTCTCCTAGCCTTCAGTGCTGGTTGTCCTGATGCCATCACAGAAGGAGGTGAGATGAGAGGACCAGAGCTTCGGATGTGGCCAGAATGTCTTTGGTGTCTTGAATCCATCCCTGTGATGCATGAAGTCGATGGGGGGGATGCTGTCTTGGTGATTTGGTGTCATCACACAGAGTCTGGCAGGTGCCTTTGAATGTTTCCCAGCAAAGGGAAGGCTGGTCCCCTCGGCAAAGTCTGAAACCTCCCTAGAGCGAGAGCCTTGAGTCATTGCCTTAGATTGGATGCAGTTAAAGCTTTAGGAAGGTCCTCAAAGTCTCAGGAATGTGAATGTATGCCTGAACACCTTCTTTCGGCCTGTTCCTTTTCAGCTTTCTTCTCATGATGCTGCTCAGAGCATCCCCTTGCTTCACTGAGGTCACAGTTTGAAAAGCAGAGACACAAACAGAGGCAGAGAACTATAGAAATCTGCCATCTGCTGATTGACTCCCCAGCAGCCAGGACAGGGCCAGGCAAAGCCAGGACCCCAGGGCTCAGGCAGTGTCACCCACATGTTTAACAGTGACTCGAGTGCTTCAGCTATCACTGCTGCCTCCCAGTAGGACTTGAACCAGGCTGTCCTATAGAGGACGTGGGCATCCTAACCTTGCGGTGTCCTAACCACCACACCCGGGGCTCAAATTATCTTTTAAATTTTGCACATGTATTTAGATGGGAGTTTTTCTTTTTTTTAAGATTTATTTTATTTTTATTGGAAAGTCAGAGATACAGGAAGGAGGAGAGACAGAGAAAAAGATCTGTCTGTTGGTTCACTCCCCAAGCAGCTGCAATGACTGGAGCTGCGCTGTGCCAATCCAAAGCCAGGAGCCTCTTCTGAGTCTCCTGCACAGCTACAGAGTCCCAAGGCTTTGGGCCGTCCTCGACTGCTTTCCCAGGACACAAGCAGGGAATTGGATGGGAAGCGGGGCCACTGGGATTAGAACTGGCACTCATATGGGATGCCGGTGCATGCAAAGTGAGAATTTTAGCCACAGGGTATCGTGCCAGGCCCTTGATGGGAATTTTATTTTCTCAACTATCAAAAAAAAAAATCTGACTCAACCGTATAAATTGGAGAGTTGAAACAGGCTTGACTTCTACCTTCAAACACTGAGTTAAAGGTAGCAGGCTCGTTTTGATTTATTGTTATTATTATTAGTGCAGCATGGAAAGGGTTGGTTTTTGGAAATGAGACGGAGAGAGGCATGCTGCGCAGAGGGAATCATTGTGGTCCTTTGCCTCAGGGCAGATTTAGTCCATCCTTGCTAGATGACGGGTAGCTCTCGCTGATTGCCGTAATCGCAGCTTCCTAAGGTGACCCAACAGCCTCGTGACTGATTCCCACGTGGAGCTCTCAGGTCACATAGCGTGTTCTGTGCTCTGCATGAATTTGAAACTCCACCTGCCCTTTATCTTTCCACACAGCACATCGCAGGTGCCACTTTTTCTTGTCTGTTGATAGCAGAAGGTGGCATCTGATGCTGACAGCAGAATGGCAAATGGTCCTGGGCAAAGGCTGGGGGAGCTTATCCCACTGCCATGTGTTCATAGCACCATGAGGGCACTGGCATGAGTTCAGTCACAAGAGGGGATAAGCATTTGCCTGCTCATGCGTCGGTTTCTGCGAGGTTGCTGTGTTGAGACCAACCCTCTCTTTGCAGACAAGTTTTTCAGGGCTGCCTCAGGAGACTCCCACTCTCTAGAATGTTCCTATTCCTGTTACACATATTTGGAGAATCTCTTTCTTTTCAGTCCTAGATAGCCCAGTGTCGGACTCAGGCGGAGGGGGAGGGTTGGTTGGGGCACTGGCCGGGAGGGTCTGGAATGCAGCTCTGAATCTTGTGTGTAAAATAAGGCCGGGCACTTGGCAACTCTGCTGCCTGTTCCGTATCAGTCGAAGAAAGACGGTCTGTACTGACTATCTCCAGAGTCCCCAGTCATTCCTTGGTTGCACTAGATTGTGTGATTCCTCGCTCTGCTGCTCCTGGCAGACAGATGTGTGTATCAGCTTACAACGCACGTATTTCCCCTTTGACACCACGCAACTCCGTCGCAGGTGCCATGTCCTTGCTGGGGGTTAAGGGCTGGGCGCCAAGCAGGGGCCAACTCTGTCTTCAGAGGCCAGCACACGGAGTGGAGCAGCCAGAGGACTCAGACACCAAGAATTCTATTTACATTTGCAACAGCCCAGCCAGAATCACATAGAAATATTAATAGCTTTGGGCTGCAGTCCCAAAATCACAAAACAAAACCAAAAATGCCCTTTGCTTGGAATAGAACTTTCAACTCTTGAGATTTTTTTTTTTTCTAGAAGTCCTCATTTATTTATTTTTACCGTTTTGACAGTAAAAAAAAAAAAAGGCTCATTTTGGAATGTGTGTGTGTGTGTGTGAATGTGTGTGCAGAAAACAGGACATTAACACCTTTTTATAAGTATTTCACTATGAGGATACGTTGGAAAGGTCATGACCTTTCCCTGGGAGGACTGTATACAGCTCACCGGAAAAATACTAAGTGAACACATGTCTGTAGGGTGAATCATCTCTTAGAACATTCTGTGACTTTTCCTCTTAAAGAGTGAAAAGTCGTCAGCGTTCAGCCCCTGGTGTGCCAGCAGCGATTGCAGCGTGCTCCTATTTCTATCTTTGGGATGCAGCATCCCTGTTACCGTTGGGGCCACATGCTATCTTTAGCTAACCCTGGCACCTGAAAGATGAAATCTTCTTTGCCTTCTGCCTGCTCCCTATTTTTCAAGATTAAAGCCATTTCCCCCTCTAGATTAGAATCACTGCTCCTTTTTTTTTTCAGTACTCACACAAATTATTATTATTATTTTTAAAGTTTATTTATTGGTTTTTATTTACTTGAAAAGTAAGGAGATGGAAAACTGGATGAATAAATACTTAGATGCAAAGGAAACATCTTTCATCTGACAGTTCACTCCCCAAATGTCCTCAACACTCAAGACTGGGCCACACTGAAGCTAGGAGGCAGCAGCACCATCCAGGGCTTCCATGTGCGTGGCAGGGACTCAAGTACTTGAGCCCTGGGTGTATGTTAGCAAGAGTCTGCCTTGGAACCAGGTCGGGGCTCTATCCCAGGCATATTTGGAATGTGGGTGGCCCAAGCAGCAGCTTAAGCTGTTGAACGATAATTCCCACTCCCAGATCATTGCTCTTAATTCAACTTTACCATGTGGCTCCTTAATCAGTGTAGCGTGTGTGCAGTATGAAGCCAGGGTGAACCACAGGATGGTTACTAGCCGGAAGTAATTGGGTCTGGCTGGCAACCCTGGGGTTAGTTAAATTCTGCCTTTATTTTTAGAGGAACCTGGATTTTTTCCCCCGTAACAAAGGGTCTAAGTTTTAATTTTTTAAAAAGATTTGTTTATTTTTATTGGAAAGGCAGATAAACAGAGGGAAGGAGAGACAGAAAGATCTTTCATCCTTTGGTTCACTCCCCAAGTGGATACAACTACTGAAGCTAAGCTGATCTGAAGCCAGGTACGTCCTCCGGACTACAAGCAGGGAGTAGATGAGAGGTAAAGTAGCTGGGACATGAACTGGCACCCATATGGGATTCTGGCAGTTGCAAGGTGAGGGCTTAGTCACTAGGCTATCTCACTGGACCCAGAGGGTCTGAGTTTGAGACTCTGTTTGCTCCTTAATTCCAGCTTCGTGCTAATGTATGCCCTCTAAGACAGCAGATGATAATTCAAGTATCATGGACCTGTGCCCTACGCAGGAGTCTGGAACTGAGTTCTAGATTCCTGGCTTTGGTCTGATTCAGTCTTGGCAGCTGTGGGCACTGGGGAAGTAAATCAGAGAGTGGGGAATTTCTCTCACACTGTTTCTGTAGTTCTCTGCCTTTCAAATAAACACGAGTGAAAAGCAAATAATCAAATAAGCAACCCGCCCTAGTAGATCTCTCTCTTGAGAGCATCATTCATTTTGAATTTACCATCTTCATCTGAGGGTTTAAATCTGGTGCAACTGACTTAAGGAAAACTGTATTTGCTGAGCTACGTAGCGTGCAGCTCTGGGGATGCAGAGAACTCCAGGGCACCATGGGCCTTTTAAATCCCCGAGGAAAGCGCAGACACAGAGCCAGGTGCCCAAGGCCGTTGACAGTTTCAGCATTTCAGCTGGTAGCATACCTTTCTGAAGCCAGGTTTCCAGTGGTGGTTTGGATAAAAAGCAGGTATCCTGTGAACAGTCAGCGGGAAGAGGAAGCAGGAACCATAGCATCTGCCTTGTTTTTTTTTTTTTTTTTTAGGTTCAGAAGTTCATGAATGTTCACAGGTATGCGTACTCCGTTAATCACACATTGTGGGTTTTTCAGAAACATATGTTCCTTTTCCAAGTGAACTCCAAATTGTTAGGAAATAATTTATTGTTAAGTTGGATCTATCTAATCATTGGGACTTATTAGCTATTTCATTTTAGGGTGCTAGGAAATATTATTGGTTCAGTTAAGGTGCCATGTGCTGAGTAAGTTTTAGACTTCTGTTCATGATAAAGATGGTTTGTGTGTGTGTTGAATTAAGATGGGCCAAGTATTCTAGTACCCAAAGTCCCCATTGCAAATAAAGATTCAGGTAAACTAAGTGGGTAATCCTTTACGCATTCTTCTTTCTCCTTTCATAATCTTGCATTGTTTATAAAATGATCTACTGGCCATTTAAACATGAACCTGTTCTCTCTCTCTTTTTTTCTTTCAGAGAGTGGGTTAATCGAGCCCCGTCCATTCATTTTTTGAGAGTGTTAATCTGTCTGAGGCTTCTAATGAGGGATCCATGTTATCAGGTGGGCTGACAATTCTTTTTGACTTAGATGAAGAAGAAGTAAAATATTGGGTGTGCTCTTCTTTGAAGTGGATTATGATGATTTTTTTTTCTTTCACAGCTTGATAATTTCTAAATTCAAGAAGTATCTCACATTCTATTTGAGAACTTTTGAAAGCAGTGATTTAATGGGGACAACAGAACCTATACATTCCTGCCATATGTCCTACGGGAGTAGGTGGATCCAATTCTTGGTGTATGTTTTTATGGTTGCCTGGAGTTTTCAACCAATAGTTCAAGGAGGTGGACAGTTTGTCCACACCATCAAAGTCAGCATGAACATGTGTGTCTTCCTATGGTATAGCATGAGAAAGGCATGCCTTGCAGCTTGAGCAGCTGCTTCAGACTTCAACCCCTTCCTAATTCACAGCCCAAGTATGAGTGAGAGCAGAGCAGGGACCTCCCGTGTATCTCAGAAGAGGCTCTTCACATCAAGAATCTTACTCTTTTCTCACTAGTTAGTTGCATGTGCTGTTCTAGATCCCTACAGCTCTAATGTACACGGGGAATGTCCTGGGATCTTGTCAATGCAGGTTCTGCTCCGGTGTGGTATAAACCGAGGCCTAAGACTCTGTCCGAGTGGGACAAGTTGCCAGGGGTGTCGCTGCTACTGACCCTTTGCACGCTTTGAGCAGCAAGGATTTAGTGCTTCAGCTCTGAGATTGTGAAGGAATGCTTTCCCAGCTCTTCTTCAGGAGTTACTTCTTCCAGCCCCAGGTGGTGGATGGATAGTGGATTGCATAAAGCAGCAGAACTTTAACTTTCCTATGCATCAGAAACACCTGATTGTTGAAGTTTTGCCCTCATAGTTTTTTTTTTTTAATTTGTTTATTTCACTTAAAGTCAGAGTCACAGGGCCTGTCGCAGCAGCCTATTGGCTAAAGTCCTCCCCTTGCATACGCCAGCATCCCATATGGGCACCGATTCCTGTCCCTTGCAGCTCCCTGCTCTGGGAAAGCAGTGGAGGACGGCTCAAACCCTTGGTCCACTGCACCCACGTGGGAGACCAGGAAGATGCTCTTGGTTCCTGGCTTCAGATCGGCTCAGCTGCAGCATTGCGGCCACCTGGGTAGTACACAGTGGACACTGAAGTCATGACCAGGGCCGGGCAGTGAGAAGCCGGTGAGGCCATTGCAACAGAGGAGTGAAAGGCTCAGATGGAAGATTCCATTTGAAAGGCTTTTAATGGGGAGCGTTCACTGAGTGAGCTGCAGAGCCGGCCTGTGGAGAGAGCACCACCGATGCAAATGCCGTCACTGGCTAGGGTAACATAGAGCTGTGCTCACAGCACATATCTTGCACAATACACTCCCTTTGAACAGAGAATACTTTAAAAAAAATCCGGTTATATTATTGGGCTTTATTTTTTAAAAAGGAAAGATCCCAGGGAGTAAGGGCAAGCAAGAGCATCTTCAGGGTGAACTGGGAAATTCCTCTGAATCATGAAGTTCAGAATTACAGAACCCATCTGCTGATCTGCTCCTAATTAAGGAGAAAGACACTGGGGTCAGAAAGGCTACCCAGAAAACCCCGTTGTCACCTAAGCATGCCCTTGAATTTGCTTTTCAGATCACTTAAGAAGCGTGGCTAAGCCCGGTTGCATGCATTCATTGTTGTCACGGATTTTTTCGGTTTTGCGGTCTTGGGCTTGTGCAACCCCATTGGTTGAATCACAACACCAGGAAGCAGAACAATCTCCTGACCTTCCTCCCCTCCCTACCGGAGGAGGAGGGAGAGGGAGTTGGCTCATCTCACACTTGAAGCTCGGGTTTTCCATACACAATGGCGATGTCCTGTGGGAGCCTGAAAGCCTCATCCTCCCTCCCTGTGTTTTCGAGCTGTCCTTCTCAAATGTGCTTGAAAGGGGAGTGACTGGTGTTCTGTGATAGGGAGCCTGCTTAGGGCAGTGGTCCTGGGAAAAGATGGATGCCGCTGCCTGCCTTGGAGACAGGGCACACAGCAGCGGTGTATCAAAGACTGAGAAACTCCTCACATGAAGAATTTGCTAAACTCTGTACAACGCAGCATTTCCCAGCCTGATTTGAACACTGCCCTCTCCCCGCCCCCCCTTTTTTTTGCCATTCCCTCTTCTCTCTTTCTCCTCCTCTTTCTGTGTAGAACACCTAATTTAATTTCCTGCATAAAATGAAAAGACTATTTCTAAGACATAGATTTGGAAACATTGGCCTAGCCTCGTATTGTTAATATTATTGAATAGATAGATGTCTTGTTATGCTAAGCCTTTCAAAGTAACCGTGACTGTGGCCAATCATCTCAACATTGTTTTCTCCCTTGCTGTCTTCTCAACCCCAAGCCTGAAATATACTTCTTCATGTGAACTATTCCAGGTTCTGATCTTTTTCCTTCAACTTGTTTTCTCTGGCTTGGGTATCCTGTCTGCTTTCCTGCATTTCTTAGGTCATCATCCGTAGTCACCTACACTCAGTCTTTCCCAGCTGTCTCCTGTTGATCATAGCTGTCTCCTGTTGATCACAGAACCCCTGTCCTGACATCCAGGTCTTGTTGCCACTGACCTCCAAGGGGGCTTGCAGCTTACACTTTCTCCAGTTCACTGCAAAGCTGTCAGGGAGGGAGGATAAGAGGGGGAAACTCCTTGCTCATCCATTTTTCTCTGGGTTCTATGGTTTGCAAGAAAGAGTTCAAGGTCGGCTCATGTCCAAGTTGTCCCACATGGGGTGACCCCACTGCTCCAGGAATTTTTCTTCCATGGGATAGTGAATCCGCTTTGCTCAGCTGAAGAATACCTGGATATCTTTTTCTGTACAACTTCTACGCAACCTTGGATCTGCTCTTCTCTTTGCTCGGGGTCTGCTTTATTCCCCCCTCTTCTCTCATCTTTACTCAGCAAATCTATCCATCCTGCCAGTCTGCATTCAGAAACCACCTCTGATGAAAGTTTTCTTCAGTTGTCTCAGCAGAAAGTGATGTGTCCCCACTCTGGCCACCCTGGTACTTCCATTCATAAGTTACTTGTGTGCGCATCTTATTCTTTCTCAAGTTTTGGTAATTTGTATCTCCATTTGCCTAAAATTCAGTGAAGTAGACTCCTGTCACCTGTGGGTTTGTATGCTACTCAAAGCCTAGGCAGAGCTTTTTATCTAATAGAAATGGGAAAAAAATATTGTTGAATAGGTATAAAATAGAAGTGGTTTTAAATATTACTTTATTATTTTTTTAATGTATAAATCATCCTACCTTAACTAGAGTTAATGTATACAATATTTGTTTAGGTTCTTTAACCATAGCTCTTCTAGAATGAATAGCATATGAAGTTTCAAATTAGTAAGTGCACATAGGATTATTTTGATATCATTTAAAATAAGATTTATTTAGCTGAAGGACAGAGCTACAGATGGAGAGGATGGAGAGAGAGAGAGAAAGAGAGAGAGAGAGAGCTATATCAGGTAGCTCGCTCCCTAAATGACTATAATAGTCAGAACTGGGCCAGGCCAAAGTCCTGAACCATGAAGGTCTCCCATGCGAGGGTCAGCGGGGCCCAAGCATTGGACCTTCTTCCGCAGCCTCCCCGGCTGCACTGGCAGGGAGTTGGACTACAATTCGAGCTCTAATACAGAATGTTTGTGTCACCTTAACCCACTGCGGCACATTGCTGGCCCAGCGTTCTGTTTAATCATGTTATAAATGTTTCTTCATACTTAATCCCTGCTTGAATTAACGGGCGTGTCCAGTGTTTCCGAAGTCACTTCACACGCCACGAGGAAACCTTGAGAACCTGTGCCCTTCCCCCCGACGCCCCACCTGCCGCTGTCATAGGCGTGAGCACAAGGCTCTCCCGCACGCCCGTGTTCTCTCGTCCTTGAGGCTTTCTCAGAATACAAAGGCTGCCTACTGTTTGTATTTCAAATAACTTCCTGGTGTGAATGTTCAGTCTGCGGAGAGATGACAATGCAGCTTTGATTAAACAGGTGAGGGCCACCTGAACACGCATTGGCCTGCTGGGCCATGCCAACCGGGATAACCCCAAGACACTTACTGCTTGTAGCGTTGGTTCCACGCCAGCCCCTTTCACAGCTGTACCCTCTTCCGCCCTTCTCTCATTGGCTTGTTCAGGGGGACCATGAGAGATGCAATGCAGTGTATACCTATTGGAACTGAATGTGAAGTCCTGGGCTAGAAGACACTGTGCTCAGATTATATTGATACTTGTTTAGAGTATAGGTTTGGTAAGACAAAGTAATCTAATGATTTGAAACAAAAGCCCCGTAGCCTACGTGCTTCATAAAACACATAGTTCATAAAAATGACCTAGGGAGCATGTTGAAGCTCTCACTGTGATGGAGCATATCTGGGTGGGTAAGGTGGAAGTCTGAGTTTCTATACCCTCCCAGGGACTTTTGCTACTATTGCTGTTATTCCAGAAACCACAGCGGCCAAAAACCCACGGGAAGGTCCTGGGAGTTTGGCAATGTGACACTCCTCCAGATCCTGTCAAGAAGGCAAAAAGACTTGCCTTTTTGGGCCCTAATTTGTTTTACATCTGCAGTATTAGAGGGTTGAATGAAAGAGATCGCTAATAGCACCTCCCAACTAACACTGGATGATGTGAAAACATGGGCGTGCAGGCTGTGGTTCCAAGCACAAACTCCTTCGCATGTGCTCTTTTTGAAAAAAGATGTATTTGCCTTTATTTGAAAGTCAGAATTAGAGAGAAGGAAGAGGGAAGTGAGGAGGGGAGAGAGAGACAGAGAGAGCTCTTCCCTTTAGTTGGTTTGCTCCCCAGATGACTGTAGATGGCCGAACCAGGCTAGTCCGGAGCCAGGAGCTTCTGGGTCTCCTGCACAGGTGCAAGGCCCAAGGCCCTGAGCCAACCTCTCCACTGTTTGCCCAGGCCATTGATGAGGAGCTGGATTGGAAGCAGAGCAGCCAGGATCGAACTCAAGCTCATGTGGGATGCCATGGTGCCGACTCCATAAATTCCTTCTCTTACTGTGACCCCTGACTTCTGTATTTGTCTCTAAAGCTTCCATATTTATGCTAGATTGTGAACATTAAATCAACAATTATGAATCTCAGTAAGGAAGTGGTGTGTGATGTGCAGTACTCCCCTGCCCTCATCGCTGACCCATGTTCTGTGGTTTCCGTTTCTGCAGGAAACCCTGCACAGCCTGGGCGGCATTGAGAACCTCGCTCAGGTGAGGCTCCTTTGGCGTTGGCTGGTCTGTTCTCTCTGCCTCCGTGGCACGCTCTGGCCAGCGATCAAGCAGCTACATGACGACAGTAGGTGGTTTCCTGTTTGAGCAGTGTGAAGGTGAAACACAATATTCCTAGCAGGGAGGGACAGTTTATTCTGGATAACTGTGTCCTGGGCCCCCAGCCCGCTGAAACCAAAAGGCGCTATAAAAGGCCCCCTGTCTCTAGTTAGAAACGCCGAAGGATAGGTGTTGGCTGGCAGATTTTCAAGTGCTTGGCGTCATACACATCAGCACGCAGGGGAGAAAAAAGAAAACGATTGCAAAGATGTTCAGAACATCTTCCACACGGAGTAAAGAGCTATGCTCATTAATAAGGAAATGACAAAGTGAGGAATGATTTTGACTTTATTTTTCTATTTGGTAACTGTTGAAGGAGAATAACTGGGTGAAGCTCAAAGGCTTGGGTTTCTTAATGCAGTAACAGAACTTCTGAGTGTGTCATTGAGTTGACACAGCCCAGTCTCCTAAAACATGTCATGTGTGTGGAAAGAAAGATTTTCATAATAAACTTGCGGATCTACAAATTCATTCTGAATGAATGGAAGGTTAAGTTTAATGGGAACTTAGCATCAAGGGTGTTTTATTACATGCTCATTCTGGGGAAATTGATTCATGTCTAATTTTTGTTTTTAAGGCTCAGTTTTAAATTACTTGCTATTTATTGTATTTCAGTGAAAACAGTGTTTCACAAGACTATGTTGTAAAGGACCTACTTATCCACTTTTCTTTTTGAAGATTGATTTGTTTACTTGCAAGCCACAGCTACAGCCAGAGAGAGAGAAACATTTTCCATCTGCCTGCTCACTTGCTAAATGTCCACTGTAGCCAGTGCTGGGTCAGGATGAAGCCAAGAACTTCACCCAGATCTCCCACATTGTTGCAGGGTCCAAAAAACTTGGGCCACCCTCTGCTGCCTTTCCAGGCATGTTTGCAGGGAGCTGGATAGGAGGCGAAACAGCCAGGACACAAATCAGTTCCCGTATAGGGTGCCAGCATTGTAGGTGGCAGCTGCACCCACTCTCCCCATGATGCCAACCCTATGTTTATTCAACTTGGAGTTCCGTTACACTCTCAGAAGTTGGATGTTTATCTCTGGCCCTGTTTCTTATCCCAGCCAGTCACCCAGTGGGAAGTGATCAATCCACCTGTGCCTATTTTATTTTCATTATTTGTCCCGGGTGCATAACAGCTAGGTATAGCTTTGGATATTGTAACACATAAGGTCAATAAAATATACACAGTGCATTATAAAAAATGATACCTGGAGTCACGCTGGAGAAAATCGCTGCTCATCTTCGTTCACTTACAAGTCATCTTGGTGATTTGGGGGACTTCATGTTGTCTTTTACATGGTCTCTCCATCAGTTTCAGGGCTTGGGAAGGGAGGGGGAGAATGCAGACAGGCAACCACCTGCTCTGCTTGAGCTAGGCTGGTCCAGAAGGAGCACTATTATTTGGTGGATTTAGTTCGCCACCTACAGTTCCTTCTAGGAACTGCAAGTCTTGTCGCTTGTTAGCTGTCCGCGCCCACTGTCTGACCAACTTGTTCATGTGGCCCTTTGCAGTACATGGAGATGGCAGCCAACGAGTACCTGGGCTACGCAGAAGAGCAGCACAGCGTGGATAAGCTGGTCAACATGACATGTAAGCATTGTCGTCGTCGGCGACAAGGCCACCTTTGTGACCTTGGTAGAATACGCAGTGTGGCGTTTGCTGCAGAGGAAGATGAACTTGGCTGTTTGGGTTTGTTCTCATACACCTTTGGGATGTCGGGAGCCCGGTGCCAATTGTTATAATCAGCGGCAAGAAATACCCAGAAGAAAAGCTTGTAACTTACAAATGTTGCCTGGAAAAGCACATTCGTTACAGTGTAAGAAAGGCTTCCAATTTAATCAGCACAGCTTTAATACATATAATTTTTGCATCTTTGAAGTGCCGGAGAATATTCAGTTTCCCTGTACAAGATTGGGTTCATCACAGTTCCCGCTTCATAGTACCCTGAGGTAGTACCCAGAGGTACTCACCTGCTCTCCCTCCAGGAAGGGTGAGCTGCATACTTCCTGGTATAGTGGGAGAGGCTGGCATCTTCACTGTGTGGGCACAGACTGGTCCAGAGGCTCTAGGAGCAGCACACCTGTGCCTATGCCAGAGGAGCAACAGTCGCAGCAAGCCCCAGGCCCCAGGGACATCTCTCTGAGGATGCCTTTTTCCCTCAACTGTGGAACCTTGCTGGGTCCATCCTGCTGGGTGGCTTTCCCCCCTGTTGAAGAACAGGCCTCGCTTTGAACTTGAAAATGATGGGAAGGGCCTGGCTAACTTTGAGCCAAAAGCGAGAGTTGTCCTTGCTGTACTCCATGAACTCACTAATGTTATAAAGCAAGCCCTAGTTCAACCTGAGCGGGGGAGGTATCGGGCTGTGCTTGGGCTGCGTGTGTTCTAGGTTTCTATGTCTCAGCCAGAGCCAGGGTTCTAGCAGGAACCCATGCCTTGTAACTCCAGATACTTCTTTGAATCATTTCCTTCCTTTATAGATATTTTTCAAAAGCTTGCTGCTGTCAGAGACCAGAGGGAGTGGGTCACCAGCAGCGGAGCCCACAAGGTGAGTGGTCCCTGAAGGAGCGTGCTCCAGTCCCATGCGCACGGGCTCACACACCTGAGCCTGTGCAGTCACGACCCTGACCTGCTAGCCAGGTCTCAGGTGGGGAATCTATGTACATTCTGTACCGGTCCAAGGAGTAAAGGAAAATAAAGGTTTGGGAAATTAATTTTTTTCTCTGGGAAATTTAGTTAGTGCCAAATTTATGGGTTAATTTACTTTCTACTTAAAAAAAAAACCTTCAGCTATATATAAAATCTAGCACTAGGTATGTGTTTATAAATAAAAATAAACAAATAAAAGATATATATGTGTGTGTGTGTGTACACATAGATTCTAGATGTCCTGTGCAGTTGCACTAGTTTGAGCCACATGCAATTGCCACTGCTTGCAAATCTAAAATGGTTGAGTACAGGTGTGTTCCTAGGATTCAGACTCATGGCTGAGGTAATCTTATATTACAAGCAGATGTCTTCAGCTTTTAAGATGAACAGATGTAGATTTAATTAAAACAAACTCAATCGAGCCTGATTGGCTGGTATCCACGTGGGACTTAGTTTGAGTTCTCTTTGCCGTGCCTATGGGCGCATGGCCATCCTGCACTGTAGCATCATATACAGCTCGTGACCCAGGGCAGGAGCGTATAAGCCAATAACAGGTGCACAGTGTTCATGTCAGCAGCCTTCTGTTGCACTGATCAAGACAACATTTGAAATCATTTATTCTTATTTGGTTGTAGGGGCGGGGAAGTGGGTAGGTATCCACTGACGCTGCCCTCCCTGCACACCTGCTGTTGTGTTGGGCCAGGCTGGGAGCTCTCCTGGGGTCTTCCCGCTAGGCTGATGGACACACACCAACTTAAGCTTGTCATCTGCTGCCCCTTTCACGTGTTGTCTTGATTGCAAAGGAACTGTAGTCACTGGAGTTCATACTAGTAGTACAATTATTTGAAATTAAAAGCAACAACCAAAAAAGTAAAATTACAGAGGGGGAAAATGGCATGTAACGGATGCCTAGAACATCAAAAGGTGTCAGTAGCTGTTGGCGAAGCTGCAGTTCTGACCCGGAGTGTGCGTAAGTGGTGTGTGAAGAGGTCTATGGGGGGTGGGAAGACTTTGAGTTCCGAAGCCATAGAGAGCAGACTTCGGGTGAATGGGAACCGAGGGCAGCTGCCCTGAGGAGCTCTGGCTGATGTTGCGCCTAGTCACGTGCTTGGGATAATACACGGGAGACCTGATGGGTTCCTTCCACAGCGCTGGCAAATCTGTGGGAAGCATTGCAATACTCGGTGCTGGTACTGGGGTGTTGGTGTGTCTCGCCTCAGCTTGGGCAGGGGGAGAAAGCTTCAGTTGTGGCAGTCTGAGAAACAGTTTAATGATTTGGAAATTGCCTTGCACAAGGCCTGCCTCAGAGAAAGCTGTGTGTGGATGACCGATGGCCACCAGTGTTAGAACTGATGCTTCTCCCTGGGGAGAGGTCAGAAGCGGCAGAGCAGGATTCCCAGGGATGTGTGACAAGCAGGTTGTCGTGTGATGGTCCCTGGGCTACAGGGAGGCACTCTCCAAAACACAGTGTCCTGAGCAAAGAACTAAACTAAAGGTATATCTGTTTTTAAAAAATGCCTTTTAAAGGTAAACTCTTCAGCTGGTGTTTTTTTTGTGGCGCAGTGGGTGAGTCACTGCCTGTGACACCAGGATCCCACATGAGCACCAGTTGGAAGCCCAGCATCGGTTTGAATCCTGGCTGTTCCACTTTCTGTCCAACTCTGTCCTAGAGCTCCTGGGAGAGCAACAGAAGATGACCCAACGGCTTGCTTCCCTGGAGTCCGGGCTTCCTGGCTTGTGCCTGGCCCAGCGCTACAACACTGGAGACAAGCAGCAGCTGACAGATCTCTCCCTCGTGTCTCTCTCTTTCTCCTCTCTACTCTGCCTTTCAAATAATAATAATAATAATAATAATAAAATCTTTAAAAGTAAACCTCTATACTAACCACAAAAAAAGAAGAAAGAACCTTACATGTGTTTCTTGTTTTTGTTTTCACAGATACTTTAAAATATTGAGCAAAATGAAAGTTCAACTTCTTTGATCTTTAGAAGCAAACATTATACCGCTCAAGAAGCTTGCAGTGCACGTGTGATGAAACTTTGTTTTCTTTCGCTTTTCAGACTTTGGTAAATCTACTCAGTGCCCGAGACACAAATGTCCTCCTGGGTGCCCTTCTGGCTCTAGCAAGCTTAGCAGAAAGGTAAGTGAATTTTACCATATTTTCCTGTCCAGCTGCAGACTAATTCAGGGTGGGGCAATAGAGGTCAGTTGATTTTCTACCTACCTAGTTCACGTGATTAAAAAATAAACATGAAATAACACTTGTGTATTAAAGAGGATTTGGATGGAAAGCGTTGTTTTAAAATGCAAGTTAGAGAGGCAAATGACGGTTGAATGTTTTCTGTTTCCATCTGGCCTGAAATATTTCAAGAAAAGATGTTAAGTATATGTTTCAGGCAATAAGTGGGTCAGTGTGTTTTGGTAAATAACATGATTTTTTTTTTCTAAAAAAAAAAACCCACCTCTTCTTTGAGATGTAGTTAAAGCCAAGATATTAACTAAGTGGTTATAGTAAGCTGTGCTTTTACTAACATGTTCCAATTTGTAGTCCAGAATGTAGGGAAAAGATAAGTGAACTCAACATTGTGGAAAATCTGTTGATGATTCTACATGAATACGACCTGCTTTCCAAAAGGTAGGGGCTGCTCACAGGGGGAAAAAGACAATGTCTTCTGTTACATGTGAGCACTTATTATCTCTCTCATACTGTTTTTGTTGTGAATTGAACGCTGTGAGTCAGCTTGGCATTTATTTGCTGTTTAAGTTTACATAAAGAATCTAGAGCAAAGAGGTATACTGCTTTATCTTTCACTCCACATCACTTTTAGGTGAATGTTACGATTGTGTTGTTAATGTTTTTGCTTAATGCATTTATTTGCATCTGTGCTTTTAGGTTAAAAAAAAGATAAGGTTGCTTTATTCTGTGTAGTTACAAATTGTGCGTGGAGTACGTGATTGGCTTTCAAAAATTCATTTTGCTTAAGGTGCCAACATAAATAAAACTGACTCCTGACTCATATTGTGGTCACTTATTATAGCTCTAAAATTGAATCTGACACAAAAAAAAATGGATTTGTTTTCATTTAGATTGCATATTGCTCAAAAGAAGAGCTATTTCGAAGCAAATCGTTGTTAGGTTGTATTGTGTTTCGAGTTCTAATCTACACCACTTGCTAATCTAGTGTAAAATGCTTTAAGTTTCTGAAGATGGAAGGAAGATAGAAAACCAGCCCTGACACTTAATAGTAAATCCTTTGGGGCTCTCCTTTCACTCTCACTTCAAGCTTTTGTGGGAGTGTTAAATACAGACGGGAGTCTGCTCCCTTCTCTGAACTTACTCAACAAGCAAGGCGCCATGGTGTTCCAGGGGTTGGAAAATCAAAGGCGGTCCACACGTGAAGCTGTAATGTAGGGTGGAGTCGGACAGGTCAATCACGTTTCAGTGTGGGGATTTGAATGGGGCAGCCGGTGGATTCACAGGGCATTTGCAAAGGAGAGAGCAGGGCCCACTCAGTTAGTGGAGGTGCCATGCCAGCATCCCTGGAAGAAACAGGGGACGGGTCAGTGGAGGGAGGGAACAAGTAAAATGAGAATATGCTCTCATGCCAAGGCATGAGTTTGGGTGTGTTAGAGGATGGTATATGGTGGGCACAGCTGCAGGGGACTGGAGAATGTGCCAAAAGGGGAGGGCAGCTGGGACATGAGCAAGCATCCGTATGGGGTTCCGGGGCATGCAAGGTGAGGATTTTAGCCACTGAGCCATTGTGCCAGGCCCTGATCTGTTTCATCCTTTGGTAGCGTGGGATAGTTCGCGCTGGACTACTCTGAACCACAGCACTTTGACATTTACCAGGAGGGTCTTATTTTCACAACTGCAGTCTAAGTTCCTGAGAACCAGAATAAGGCCATTTGCTTATTTAGCTTCAGCAATGCTAGTCCCAGAGTTTGTAGTTGGGTGTGTACCTGCTGATCGGTAGGCTTCTGGTGAGCCCAATAAAGGTGCCATAAGGGTGTAACTTAGAAGTGTGGCCAGCAAACTACTACCTGAAGGCTCCATTGGGCCTGTGTCGCGTGTCTCCGTAAATACAGATGTGTTGTAACACAGGTGTGCCCATTCGCTTTTGTGTGCTGTTTGCGGTAGCTTTCCTGCTGTCTTGGTATAACCGAGTAGCCGTGACAGAGGTTGTAAAGCCAACAAACAAACAAACAAACACACAAAAACACTTGACTGTGATGTGGCTCTTGACCGAAAGCCTGTGTCGACCCGAGACGTAGAAGATGTCAGTGTTGCGTTGCATGCAGTGGGAAAGCCACCTGCTGGTGACGCTGTGGATCTCTGCCTGTCCCACCGTGCCCGCGCCCTTCCAGGCTGACGGCGGAGCTGCTGCGCCTGCTGTGTGCAGAGCCCCAGGTGAAGGAGCAGGTGAAGCTCTACGAGGGCATCCCCGTCCTGCTGAGCCTGCTGCACTCCGACCACCTGAAGCTGCTCTGGAGTGTCGTGTGGATCCTGGTGCAGGTGTGCGAGGACCCCGAGACCAGCGTGGAGATCCGTGTGTGGGGAGGCATCAAACAGCTCCTGCACCTTCTGCGAGGGTGAGTCGGAGTCGGGTCTCCTTAATGTTGTTTACGTTGTTGAGAGAGATGCATACTCTCGTGGTCCCCTGGTCAGGGCGGGGAGGTTCAGGCATGGAGGAAAGTGGCTGGGATATTTTCTTTTTCTTTTTCTTTCTTCCTTCTTCTTCTTTCCATAGGGGAGGAGGCTGCTCTTTGCTGTCAAACGCTAGCAGCACCTAGGGATGGGGGCTGGCCATCTGTTGATGTTTTAGAGATACCAATGTTTTCTCCCCCACACCGCTTTTTAAAGGCAGAGTTACACACACACACACACACACACACACACACACACACACACACACACACACAGATCTTTCATCTGCTGGTTCACTCTCCCAGTGGCCGCAGCAGCTGGGGCCATGCCAAGCAACCTGGAGATTCTTCTGGGTCTCCCATGTGGATATAGGGGCACAAACATGTGGGCTGTTTTTCACTGCTTCCCCGTGCACATTAGCAGGGAGCTCGATTGGATGTGGAGTAGCCGGATGCTGGCTTTATTGCTGTGTCTCAACGCCCAGTCCATATAATCTAAAAGTAGGATTGCAAGGAGTAAGATTCCAGAGATATCCTTATTCATGAGCATGGGGAATAGTTTTATTGTTAACTTGCTAAAATCGTTTCAAATAGAAATTCTTTGAAAGTATGTTGCAAAGCAACTACTATTTTTTTTAATGAAATATCGAGTAAGAATATAGATTTTCTTTTGGTCTCATCTGTGGGAAAATTCAATTACTCAAGAAAGCATAATTCAACCCTGTAGATGCTGAATCAGAGTTAAAAATAAATATGGCTGTGTGAAAGGGATCGTGTGTATGATCAGTAATATAGACATAAAGTCCATTCTATTAAAAATTTTAATATAACCAGATGTTACCAAATCAGTATTAAGATTTTGTACCTTTTATCAGGGAACGTTTCGAAGCATGAGGGCAGAGCCAAGCTGTAGCTTTGCTCATGGTTTCTGCCATTGCTGGAACAAAGGAGACATTTGCAGACCACGGATGATCTGTCTGCTTTAACGAAATCCACATAAAAATGCCAAGTACTCTTTTCCTAAAAAAAGTTATTTTATGTATTTGAGAAGCAGAGGCTATTTTAAGAGAAAGAGGGGGTGTCAGAGAGGTCTCGCATCCACTGACGCACTCCACGGAGACCCACGGGGACCAGGGCTGGATCAGAAAGCGGGACCTGGATGCTCCGTCGGGGGTCCCACGTGGGAGGAAGGACCCGAGACCTTGAGCCATCTCGTGCTCCCTCCTGGATTGTGTATTAGTGGGAGTCTGGAATTAGAAATGGAGACAGAGTTCCAATCCAGGCATTTCAATGTGGCAAGTCAGTGTGTCTGCTCAGCCCAGCACCTGCTCCTCCATTGTTTTAAGATACAAATGATAAATCTTTGAAATATACTGTGACATAGTGAACTAGCCCTTAGGTCAAAGTAATTGCAGTTGCTAAATAAATAAGTATTTTTTGCTTGAAGTTGTAGAATTTTGATGGTGATAATGATGACTGATTATAGATTACTTAGGAATGACAATCAGACCTATTACAACAGCTGAGGTTTGCCCTAACAGAAAGTAAGCTATTGTTTAAAAAGATTTATTTATTTTTATATCAGATATGATATTTTATGTCAGATATACAGAGAAGAGGAGAGACAGAGGGGAAGATCTTCCATTCATTGATTCACTTCCCAAGTGGCCACAACTGCCAGCTGAGGTGACCGAAGCCAAGAGCCAAGAACCTCTTTCTGGTCTTCCACATGGCTGCAGGGTCCCAAGGCTTTCGGCTGTCCTCGACTGCTTTCCCAGGCCACAAGCAGGGAGCTAGATGGGAAGTGGGGCTGCCAGGACATGGACCGGCACCCATATGGGATCCCAGCAAGGACTTTAGCCACTAGGCTACTGCGTTGGGCCTGAAAGTAGCTATTTTTAATGATAAAAATTCTACGATCACTTAGCAATACTTCAGTGAAGAAAAACTGCCTTTTTCTTTTAGAGTTAAGTCTAGCATAATGTACTGTTTTTCTCTGTTGTTTCAGTTTTATTTATTCATAACAGAAAAAAATATTTCATGTTGAAGGTGTTGCTTTGCAACTTGTTTCCATGCGTTAGTGTTGGAAAGCGCTTCCTTGGGAATATGACACTAGTTAACCCTTATTCAGTGTTAAGTATGTTTCTAGAACTTAGAGGGAATTTATGACCCCAGCTGGGTAAACACTGATCAGTTCACAGCTTGCACCTGTGCTTGGGCTGCCTGGAACGGTCCTGGGGTGGGGGCTGCCAGGTAGCCTGGTGGCTTGAGTATGAATAGTCAGTATTGTCAGGGCGGCGTTTAGAGAGCCTGCCCATGCCCCATCATCCGCAGTCCTCAGTCAGTGGAAGTCCCCAGAGGGCTCCAAGCTCTTGGTAAGTCGGAGAGATTCCCTACCGTTCGAGTTGGAAGACAATGTAATTGACTGATAAGATCGCCAAATTGTGACCCTCTTTAAGCTCCTGCCCGTAGCCGTTGAAGGAGGGATACTAGTGGACCCAAATGATCAGGGATAGAAATCAAGACGATCCCATCTGTGTTACATTTGGCACATTCAGATAGAGCTGTGGGCATAAAACACAAAGAAGTGGGGGGCCAGCGTTGTCGTATAGCAGGCTAAATACTTGCTACACCAGCATCCTATATGGGTACCAGCCCGAGTCCCAGCTGTTCCATTTCCGATCCAGCTCCCTATTAATGACCTGGGAAAGCAGTGGAGGATGGCCCATGGCCTTGGGGACCCTGCGCTCATGTGGGAGACTCAGAAGAAGCTCCTGGCTCTGGTTTCAGACTGGCCCAGCTCTGGCCGTCGCAGCTATTTGGGGAGTGTCCTCTGTCTTTCAAATTAATTAATTAATTAATCTTAAAAACACAAGTGAAAAGACTGATTTAAAGCAAGAGAATAAAGCAGACCAAGGGCACTTGAGAAGTTCATATATTGTAGAAGACAGTGAACTAGGGACACAGAAAAACAAATGCCGTATTTTATCAAACACAGTAAGCAGAACCTGAGTTCGTGAAATGAGATGAATGAAGAGATAATAAGACAATGGGTAGGGTAGGAGATTGTAGCGTAAAAATTACAAGGGCTGATTAACATCCACAGGACTGCGGAGTTAAACAGGATGTCAGAACATCACCAAGAGTACTGAAAGAGAGAAGGTGGAAAAATTATATAGAATGCAGAGAAAAACCCAACAATTCGAGGAAATGAAGGCGATTAGGAAGTAAAAGGCGAGGCTTGTACAGCAGTTGTCAACTCATAGATAATTGAGATCAGAGAGAGAGAGAGAGACAAAAAAAATGAATGGTATTGTAGAAAAGAGAATTTTACAGAAAAAGGAAGTTGAGAACAATAAAGACTGAGATGTATTCCTGTGAGTTGAGTGGAACAGAAGAAAGTTCGCAAAGGGAGTGGGCTGGGGAGAGCACGGAAAGGGCGGTCCCTTGCAGAAACAGGGGACAGCCGTGAGAGAGAGACAGGAGTGAATGCTACCACACTCCACACGCAAACATCTCATTGCAAGGAAAGTGAGACAGTGCAGATAATGCAGGAGAAAAGACTGAACCCAAAGGAAAGCTGATTTGTGGATTTACCTTGCTTTTTCAGAGACAGAAATTTTGTTTCTGATCGCTCCTCCCTCGGAAGCTTGTCCAGTGCAAACGCGGCAGGCCGGATCCAGCAGCTTCATTTGTCCGAAGACTTAAGCCCTCGGGAAATACAAGAAAACATCTTCTCTCTCCAAGCAGGTATTCATGCTATGTGACCATGGCTTATATTGTGATGCTATGCAATTTGTTATGTTGTGTTACGCCTCTCTGTTTTAAAATGAGGACGGTAAAGTCAATTAGGTATTTCTAATAAGTTTGCAAAAATGTCGCGTTAAACCCATACGGTTGCCATAAGCCAGTGCTGTGTTTGTAGATGAGTTATACAGCAAACTTTCTCTCCTGTTCATGTTCTGAACTCATTGAAAAGTTAACCTGGAAGTCTGATATAAAGAAAGAGAATAATAGGACAGGCATTTGATCCAGAGCTTACAATGCCCGTTAGGACAATGAGGTCGCATAGGATCCTGGCGCTGGTTACTGATTTAGTTTCCGGGTAACACTCTGGGGGACAGCAATGATGGCTGAAGAAGCTGGCCAGAGAAAAGTGCTGTCCTGGGTTGAAGGAATAACAGCGATGCCTGTGTGAAGTTTTCTTTTTGGTGGGCTACATCAAACAGGTACACAGAGGCACCTGGTGCTTGGGACAGGAAGGGCCACAGTTCAGCGTGAGGGCTTTTGACTAAGCTGGTGTCTGGTGGCTACCCTAAGGCAGGGAGTAGAGTAGACCTTCACCAGTGTGGGCCACTGAAGGCCAGGGAGAGCTGAGGGGGCGAAGGAGGGCTGGGGGAGTGAGAGGCAGGAGCAGGCAGTCGCTCTTCCCCCCCTCACCCTGTCCTCTTGAAGCCTGGAGGTGCTTCCTCAAGACAAGGGAGTTGGACCCTCTGGATGCTCTTCCTGCTCATTCCAAAGGCCCCTGTCTCGCCACAGTGCTCGTGTGGGGAGTTTCCTGGATGAAGGTTCCCTGGTACCTGTAGGAGCCTGGCGCAGAGCTGCCACTCTCTCTGGCACTCCTCGAAGAGTGGGTGAGGGTGGCAGTGACAGGGTTCAGAGAGCAGTGACTGGCATGTGGGGTTACAGGAGACACCAAGTCCTCAAAGGGACACAGGGGAGCCTTGGGCTGGAGCGAGCAGAGAGAGCCCCAGTGGTCCTCTGGGGGGGCGCGGCTTCAGAATACATAGACTTGACATATCTTATTGAGTTGTACACCTAACATGTATTTGCTTTACATGGTTTATTTAATATCTAAGTTAAAAGGAAGAAAGAAAAAGATAAGGAGTTAAGAATAAGGAGTGAATTTGACCCCACCCACTTTGGCGGCCACATGGTTTTGGGCATTTTTTCCCCAAGATTTGTTTTATTTGTTTGAATGATAAAGTTACAGATTCAGAGTCTGTCTGTCTGTCTCTCTCTCTCTCTCTCACACACACACACCACACCACACACATGTTTTCCATCTGCTGGTTCACTCCCCAGATGGCCACAATAGCTATGGCTTGATCAGGCCAGAGCCAGGGACCAGGAGCCATCCTCTGCTGCTTCCCAGGGAACATTATCAGGGAGCTGGATTGGAAGAAGAGCAACCTGGACTCAAACCGGTGCCCATATGGGTTGCTGGCACTACTGGCAGTGGCTTAGCATACTACACCATGGTGCTAACCCTTGGACAAGTTCTTTAACATCTATGAGTCTTATTTAATTTTAAGTTTAATTTTGAGAAGGGTAAGAGTGCATGCGTGAGAAGAGAGAGATATTATTTCCCATCTTCTGATTCACTCTCAGAAACCCCTCACTGGCCAGGGGTGGGCCCTGAATCTGGGAGCCAGGAATTCAATCCAGTCCTTCCATGTGGGGTGACAGGGATCCAGTTATTCAGGCCGTCACTGCCTCTTCCCGGGCAGGAGCCAGGACTGGGACTGAAACCCAGACACCCTAACAATGGCAGATCTGAGCTTTGCAAGCAGCAGTGTGACTGCCTGGTCACAGGCCTGCCCCCAAGCCTCAGTTTTGGCCAGTGTGATGGTGAGCACAGCGGCATGGTCAGAGAGCTCCGGTGAGAGGTACCTGAGGACATCCCTGGCACCTTCAGCGCAGTCTGCACGCACAGCAGGGACTCAGCTGTATAGTGTTATCTATAACAGGCACTGCCTGCTGCAATGTCTGGCATGTGTCTGGGTGGGCGAGGTGCAGAATGCCACCAGCTGCTGCCACGGTGGCCATTGGAGGCTGGAGGGATAAAACTCAAGCTGTGGGACTTAATACATGGAGTACATGGAGTGCGTGGAGTGCAACGGAGTGCAATGTCAGGAATCACTCCTGTGGCGCGCTGGGCGAGCGGGGGAATCAGTGCTTCCGGAGGGGGCACCTTGCTGACAATCCCCCTGCCGCGTCAGAGTATTGCTCTGGGGACGGACTGGGCTCACTGCGCACTTGACCTTTCTCGTTGCAGCCTGCTGCGCTGCCCTCACGGAGCTCGTGCTCAACGACACCAACGCCCACCAGGTGGTCCAGGTGAGAACAATTAAAATACATCCAAATTTCACTCCCAAATACATAAATTGCTGAAAGTTCGCAAGCATTCAGAGCACCTGTGGCAGATGTCCCGTGGGAAGCTCAGTGGATCGGGGTGGCTGTTGGGCGGGGGGATTTGGAATGAACTCGATTGAGGTTCATTTTCTGGCATCACCTCTTACTGGCTCAGCTCCTGGGAAAAGCGACTCAGTATCACTCGTTTTCCCAAACTGGGAAGCTAGAAGCTAATCGCACAACAGCTGCGAACATTATATGGCGCAAGGCAGGTAATGTCCCGTGGGGTCACGAGGTCCACAGGTGACACTGCAGGGGCCAGTACATCATATATTTCATACTTGCTAGGAATAATCCAGACCGATTTGTTTTCTTTCCTCCATTTGTTTTCTTTCCTCCATTTCCCTGTTCGTTATAATTGCCCTGAAATGCCTTGAAATCTGGTTTTGATTGCTTTGGCTTCGTTTTTGTTGTTTGAGATGACTTTAGCTTTTTGAAGTTTCTTCTGCTTCCATATGACTTTAGATTGGAGAAGAATGTTCCTGGTATTTTGGGGTGGATCACACTGAATCTGAATTGCATGGGCAGAACGGGCGTTTTGATGATAATGCTTCTTGCATTCCATGAACGTGGAGGATTCTTCCCATTTCTTACTGTGCGTCAACTTCTATTTCTTTACCCAGTAATCAGCCGAAAGAAATCTGGGCAGATTCCATATAAATTTACCTGCTTTCCTAACTGTAGACTTGACTCTTCACAGACAACCGACCTGTTGGGAAAGGTGGTGGTTATCATTAGTAAACTATTACATTGTCATTGTTGGTATTGCTACATTTATTTAAATGCTAAAATGAACATTTCCTTGGTATAATTCATTTTTGACAGTCTGGACCGTCTTTGTGCTTCCGTGTCTCCACGGCACGGTCACTCGTCACTGGTAACTCAGCTCCTTTATTCTTCCAGGAAAATGGCGTGTATACAATTGCAAAATTAATTTTACCAAATCAGCAAAAGAATGGAGCAAAAACGAATCTCTTACAGGTAATAAACACGTCCCCTGTGCTTCAATATCAAGTTAATGAACTCTGGGGAAACTTGATTATGTCACGTGTGAGTTTTAGAATTCTTAGGTTTGTGTTGGCCTCTGTGCTGAGGGAGAAATATCTAGCAAAGGAGGTAAGAATGGAAACGCTTGGAGTGAAAACGTTGCGAACACTGAACAGTATTTACTCGGAGAGGGAGCATTGGGTCTTATTGTGCTATTTCTGTACTTATTAGGAAGTTTTTTTAAAAAAGATTTATTTATTTTTACTGAAAGGTAGATTTACAGAGAGAAAGAGATACAGAGAGAAAGAGCTTCCATCTACTCATTCACTTCCCCAGTGGCCACAACGGCCAGAGCTGAGCTGATCCGAAGCCAGGAGTCAGGAACCTCCTCCCTGTCTCCCATGCGGGATCCCCAAGGCTTTGGGCCATCCTCTGCTCGCAGGCCACAAGCAGGGAGCTGGGTGGGAAGTGGAACAGCTGGGACATAAACCTGTGTCCCTATGGGATTCTGGTGCGTGCGAGACAAGGATTTAGCCATTAGGCATTTGTGCAGAACCCAGGAAAGGTTTTTTTTTTTTTTAATTATATAAAGAAATATTCTTTACTTCCGTACCAAAAAAAATAACAATAGAGAAAAAAAATTATTTGCCGTTTTTAAGCATGCACCACGGGCAGAAATGAGGTCAGGATGATCACAAATGAGATGACGATGGCTGAGATCAACTTGCCTGGAGAATAAGGGGAAAGATACTAGGGGAGTTAGCTAGTGGCTCTGGCACACGGAGGAAGGGCATTGCGATGCAGATGGAACAGCATGGAAAAAGCAGGAGCCGGAGAGTTCAGAGCGGTGCTCCGAGAAGTGGGGCGGGGTGTGTCACCGGGGAAGTGTGCTTCCCGGGAGATGAGGCCCCAACGGTAACAGACGAAACCAGTGGACTTTCCTGAAGAGCAGGCACTGAGATGCCAGTGTCCCCATTGACACTAACACGTCAAGTCCAGGTTTAAAGTAAATTGGCAGTCGTTTCACCCAGCTAACCTTTACTCCAAGTCGTCTAGCTGCGGGGCTGGGGAGGCAACCTTGGGCTCCAGCGCCATCTCAGAGCTCTCCTGCAGGACGCCTGCTCCCCCTGGCGGAGGCTCCAGCGCCGTGTGGGTGCTGGAAGCAGGTGCTAACCAAGAACAACACGTAGGCGTGGGACTGGATTTCTTTAGTGCGCCCCAGATGTGGAACGCGGTGCTGGAGACCCAAGTCACATTCCATCCTGCAAACATTTAGCGCGGCAGAAGAGGCTCTCAGCCGGTCGTAATGGAGGTGGCCTGGGAGGTATTTGGCACTGCGGGTCAAACCTAGCACCTGGGTGCCGTCTGGTCATCTGTCTGGTCACTTTGGCTTGTGGCTCGTCTACGTCCAGATGACTGGTTTTATTAGCCAGATCCGGTTTCGGCTGAGCAGGGGTGGACACTGGGTGCAACAGCAGGCTGGGGCTTGCTCGGGCACGTGTGTGTGTGTGTGTGTGTGTGTGTGTGTGTGTGTGTGCATTTTCGGCCAGCTCTGCAAAATCTCCCGGCGTTTATTTTCCTTAGTGAAACCCTCCCAGGCCTCTCTTGAGTGTTCCAGGGAGTCAGTGTAGATTGTTCTATTGGGGGACTGGTTAGGACTCCTTCCTCAGGGGACCAATTTGTCAGGTCTGGGTCCAGCGCGCCTCTGGCTATTTTTATATGTCAGCATTGGTAGTGTTTATTTTCTCACAGAAACCATATAAATATTGAGGCATACAGAGCAGGCTGCAAGCAAAATAAACCTTGAGCTCCTGGCAATCTTCGGGACGTTGGATTTTGTCAGCGTAGGGATTTTATTTCTTGTCTCTGCGCTTGGGTGTGCGCCGTCCGGAAAGGCATCAATGCCAAAGCCCCCCGAGTGAAACGAGGCCAAGGTCGCTAGCGCTCTGCAACGTAAACAGTTTGAAAGGCCAGAGCCGATCCAGGTGCCGGGGGTTTTCTGTTTTCGGTTATAAGCGTTGGCTCCGACGGAGGCCAGCCACTCACAATAAAAGTCCCTTTCGTGTTTACTTGGTGAGCCGTTCTGTGCCTGGGGAATGTTTTAGTTCGCGGAGCGACCACTGAACACTCAGATATGCTTTTATTTTCCAGTGTTACGCTTTCCGAGCCTTGCGGTTTCTCTTCAGCATGGAAAGAAACAGGCCACTCTTTAAAAGGTATGATCTTAAAGTAAACCTGAGGATTTACTGGATTGGAGAGATTGTTTAGGTGGAACTGGTTTCTCTTGAGATGGACTCAGCAGGTGAAGACAGAATGAAAAATGACAGATCCCCCAGACAGAACCAAGTTAGGGCAACTATAGTGAGAGTTAACAGGATGCTGACCAAAGAGAGTTGGTCACGACGTCGGCACAAACTCTTCTCAACGACCCGTGACTGCCCTGCTTCTTACTTAAAAAAAAAAAAAATCAAGTTATTACCATTTTAAACAGATGGCTTCAACATAGGAGGTTGTTTTTGTCCATTCCCAAGTGGATGTGACAATCTGCCTCTTAGGTCAACAGGGATTTATTTGTCTCATCTCCTTGTGGGTGCGAGGGATCAGAAAGGAGACTGTGAGGATGACAGCGACCAACAAGTCGTTGTCTTGACAGGGAAGCACTGTGCATTTGGGTGGCTTAGCCCAAGGTAAAGCTCTCTTTTATTCTTACTGGGGTTCTGTTGTTAACGCAGAATAGAAATGAAATTTTGAGTTAATTCAGTATTATCTGTTTGCAAAGTATGGAATGCTTTACGTTGTTACCCATCTCCATAAAATATTTGAATTTAGTGGAAAAGGAAATAAAATTATTTATCCTATGGATTTTTTTTTTATTCAAGGCTTGTAAGCCACCAATTTTAGCTAACTGAAAACGTTTTAGTAAATTCCTAAAATAAGTTTCTTTTGGAAATGATGCATCAATCTCTCCATTTACCTGTATTCTTTTTCTCTTACTTCCATAAAGAATTTGAAAAGCAAATTAATGGTGACTTCCTAGAGTTAAAATGAGGACTGCATCGAATGACATTTATGAAATTTGGTAGCACTCAGGAATACCCAATGAGTATTCCTCTCTCATATGTTTAACACCTACAGTTCAACATATCTTACAGATAATATGCAGTCTAGACAGATAAAAGTAGAGTCCATTTCATATCTAGCTTTTTTATTGCAACATTAAAAATAGCATCACGTTAGGTTTACCTTGTCCTCCACTCTCAAGCACTGTGGCTGTAGCATATCTGATGAGGCAAGTTGGGGGCTGTTATTTCCCTACTTTGTGGCTAAACCTGGGGAAGGTAAGTTGGTTTCATATCATTAACCTTTGGGAGAACTACTTCGCAAAAGGAGGTAATGAGAAGCGACTTCCCAGCCCTGCCTTACAGGTGTGTGCGTGTTCCCCTGCAGGCTTTTCCCCACCGACTTGTTTGAGATCTTCATCGACACGGGGCACTATGTCCGCGATATCAGTGCTTATGGAGACTTGGTGGCCAAGTTGAATTCTTTAGCGGTGAGTTCGGTTTGATTTGCTCGGGCTGCCACATGGTTGGGGGTGAACTGCATCGCAGCAACCCACGGCTTTGATCTCTTTTGGGTAGGAGGACGACCTGAAGCAAATTGCGGAAAATGTTGAAAGCATTAATCAGAATAAAGTCCCTTCGAAATACATAGGCAACTACGCGATTTTGGATCATCTTGGAAGCGGAGCTTTTGGCTGTGTTTACAAGGTGACTTTGCCTTAGGGGAAACACTCACGATGGTCCCACACAAATCAGATGTCACGCTTGCACAATCATATCCTATTTAGTTGGAGCCCTGGTCATTTGAAAAATAATGAACCCGTAGAGACACAACTATTCAAATATTTTGTCCAATAGGCAGTGACGATGATACTGATATTGCCTTACGTCTCAGCTCAAGAAGAAAACATTGTTACTCTCTCTCTCACACAAATAGTTGAAAGAACTTGTCCTAATTATAATAGATTCTCTATTATTTTTAAAAAGAGCTGCTTGTTTATTTGAAAGTCAGGTGTGTGTGTGTGTGTTTGAGAGAGAGAGAGAGAAAATCTTTCATCCACTGGTTTACTCCCCAGTGGTTGCAATGGCATTGGACCAGGCTGAAGCCACAAGCCAGGAGCTTCTTCTAGATCTTCCGTGTGGGTAATAGGGGTGCTCGGGTCATCTACTGCTTTTCCCAGGCCACCAACAGGAAGCTGGATTAGAAGTGGAACAGCCTGGACTCAAACCGGTGCCCATGTGGGAGGATGAAATTGAAGATAGTGTCTTTACCTGCCACCCATCGAGGTCAACCCCGATTCACGTGGTCTCCCAGTATTTAGCTAGTAACATTCTATTGAGTATTAGACTCATTCAGGAGACTTAATATTTTGAGTTATGTTTAGCATGGATACAGTCAGAATGTTAAATGCTTTGTGATTAATTACATAATTTATTTAATGATGTGGCTTTGTTACTCCATCCATTCCAATGCTACTACTCTGTATATCTTTTTTTTTTAATCTTTCTTATTCCAGGTTAGAAAACGCAGTGGTCAAAACCTTTTGGCAATGAAAGAGGTCAATTTACATAACCCGGCATTCGGAAAGGATAAAAAGGACCGTGACAGCAGTGTAAAAAATATTGTTTCTGAGTTAACGATAATCAAGGAGCAGGTATGTCTTTCTGGGGATGTTTTCCTTAGATCAACATCATTGAAACAAACTGGAGCTCTTGTATTTTTCTTCTGCTTACTGCCTGTGAGCCAGCTTCATACAAAATTCCCACCAGCTTCTTTCCTGAGAAAAGACAGGAACCACAGAAGCACTTTCTATAATTGATATCAAGGGCGTGGATGCAAGTCATCTGGGCTTTTGAAATCAGCTGCATGACCCAGCTGCTCTCGTTAAATTTGCATAGCATCTGTGCTGGTACATAAAGATATCATAAATATGATGATCTTGATCCATCAAAATCTAGAGTTCTGTCCTAATTGATAAATTTTAATGTCAGTTGTAATCATTGGCAGCTTCTTTCATAGTTGACTTTTTACAAGTTCATAAATTTAAAAAGCTCAGGTTTAAAATAAAAATAATCTGGCTCTTTTTTCTTATATGTAAGATAGCCCAGGAAGTTCTGTTTCATTAGACCATGAGGTTAGAGGAAGGCTTTAGACTGAACCAACCCAGTGTCTTCATTTGGACCTGAGTCATTGCGAGAGAGCCAAGTTTAGAGCTGGGTTCTGATCATTCATGTAGCCTTATGTTGCTTAAACTCTGTCGGTCCCCTGCTACTCGATGAGGTACCCTATTTGTTCCATCACATACCAAAACGACAACACCACCCCAGAGCTTTAGAGTAGGGTTGTGGAAGAGGCATCTGCCGGGGACTTCTTAGTCACTCAGAATCATGTACTTGCCATCTCGCGAGAGTGTTGAACCCGTGCTGACCCTAAGCAGAGGAGGTTGTGGTGGACTAGATCAGGAGAGCAGTCTTGTTAAGACTAACCAGCAGTAAGCAGAGGAATCCAAAATGCCAGAGCTTGTGCAGGAGGCCTCCCACGGCCGTTATTTATCTTGCATGTATCCGTGCTAAATGCAGTGGGCAGGTTGGCAGTGTCCTCTGGCAGTCGTTTGGCTACTTCCAGGGGCACGTGTCTTTCTGTTTGTGGTTGGAACTGTCACAGACATGTTTCTATCCAAGGGGCAGGGAGGAGTGCACAGGGGTAGGGCTCAGACCCCAGGGTCCACACATTCCCCTAGCCCTCCCCTGCCACTGGAGAGCTCTGAGGGCTAGGCCCACTCCTGGCTGTAGCACAGGCACAGAGATCTGTCCCTGGCCGGAGGTCGCATCCTGCTCCTACCCTACTGCCGTGGACAGCAGAAGACGGCACAGTTTTGGAGGACAGCGGGCAATGTCCCTCTAAAAAAGGAATACAGAAAGACCAGAAGGATGTTCAAACAATTGTCAGGTAAATGGTAATTCTTGTGCAGGCTCATGCCACTGTACCTGCAAACTCAGCTACACCCATTGTAGCGTTCTTGAGGAAAGTGTCTTTCAAAAAACTTTAGACAAGAAAGTTTTCATTTCCATTGTTAAGTAAGCTTCTTCTTCTTTTTTAAAGATTTATTTTATTTTTAATTGGAAAGTCAGATATACAGAGAGGAGGAGAGACAGAGAGGAAGATCTTCTGTCTGTTGATTCACTCCCCAAGCAGCCGCAACGGCTGGAGCTGTGCCCATCTAAACCCAGCATCCAGGAGCTCTTCTGCAGGTGCAGGGTCCCAAGGGTTTGGGCTGTCCTCAATAGCTTTCCCAGACCACAAGCAGGAAGCTGGATTCCCGGGATTAGAACAGGTGTCCATATGGGATCTCAGGGCATGCAAGGCAAGGGCTTTAGCTGCTAGGCTATCACTCTGGGACCATAAGTAAGCTTTTGTAAAAGGGAAATTTGTACCAGTCCCTTTTCGAAATGAAAGTGATGATGTTATTCAATGAGATTGCAATAGAGGTCAAACTGTTGCCTTGAAGAGGCAGGTTTAAACCAACTCTGAGTTCATCAAATACAACTGGAGGTTTATAGCCAGTGGGTAGGGTGGAGGACTCAGTGGAAGAAAACGGCTAAGGAGTTGGTTAGACACCAACAGTGCCGGAAAGAAGAAAGTGATGGGCTATGGGGGATGGCACGGATTCTCAAAACTTAGCTTGGCAAGATTCTTGCTGAAAGTGGTCAGGTCAAGGTAAGTGCTGAGTCGACAAGAGGATTTGGAGGAGCCTGATGGAAGTTCAGTCAGGAAAGAAGACTTTTTCAACGATGATTCAACATGAGTTAACCCAGATTATTTCCATTTAATGTTAATCATTTGGGAGAACATAGAAACGGTCTAAGTAAACATAAACGATATTAAAATATTAAGGTGGTAGAGAGAGGTAAAGAGAAATGAATAAATATGCTGGCTATATAAATTATTTCAATTCAGTTTTCTCTAATTATTTGAAAAACAGAGTTTCAGAAAGGGAGGGAGAGAGACAGAGAGATCTTCCACCTGTTGGTTCACTCCCTGAAATGGTGACAGATGGCCCGGACTGGCCTGGGCTGAGACCAGGAGACAGCAGCTTCCTCCAGGTCTCCTGGGGGGAGCGGGGTTGGGGCAGGTGCCCACAGACTTGGTCCATCCTCCACTGCTTTCCAGGAGCACAGCTGGAACTTGAACTGGTGCCTGTATGGGATGCCAGCCTCGCAGTGTTTAGCCACAACACTGGCCCCTCAGTTTTCTTTTTAAATGATGTCTCTGCGATGTTGGAGAAGTGCTAATAAATTCTTAAGAGTTTCATCTAGTTCTACAGTTCTCTATTAAGTGAGTGGATAAGGGATTATTATTATAATTTTGTAGGCAATACTTTTTAAAATTCATAAAATCCTCAAATAAATGATTTCTTGAAACTATTATTCTATATATATATAGAATAAATACATTTCTTTGTTTTAAAATATGAAGATCAACTGAGACGTGAAAAGAAGTTGGTTGTTTCCCGTGGTATAATAAATGTCTGTTACTTATTTTTTTTTATAGCTGTATCATCCCAATGTTGTTCGTTATTACAAAACATTTCTGGAAAGTAAGTATGATGCTTCATGATTTTTCTCCCTCATCAAGAAATGTATCTTTATTTCTTACCCATATTTGATAACATTGTAAAGTAAACCATTTGCTTTTTTAAGTTGCTAGTGTGACTGTGAGTGGGGCTGGGCTCCTGTGCTGGCGGTCAGTATGCCAGCTGAGACTGGAGAAGGCACCATGTCCCACACAGTATCTGGATTCGTGTGTGTCTTTGGGTCCTGATCCCACTGTCTTGCTCATCATATCTCTCCCACCCCTCTCTCTCTCTCTCTTACTCTCTCTCTCTAAAAAAAAAAAAAAAATCTCTTGAAGATGGAATTCACAGTGGATGATCTTGAAGATTAGTTTTTGATTGGTAAGGCAGTAATAGACTTAATATGACCCATGACATACTTAGTGCCTCAAATAAAACATATCTCATGAATAAACCAAAATAGTTATTGTTGTTCTCTTATACAAAAACAAACAAAAACCACACAGCAGAATCCAGAGAAAAGGATAATTTTCTTTTGGAAAAAAATGGAAAACTATCTTTATTGAATCATTTTCACCTCCAAAATAAATAATGGTGTGGGGCGGGGGGAGGTTGTGCTGGTGCAATGGCTCAACTGGTTAATCCTCCACCAGCCCTGATAGCCCCTATGAGTGTCGCTTTGTGTCCCAATTGCTCCACTTCCCATCCAGCTCCTTGTGTATGGACTGAGAAAGCACCGGAGGATGACCAAAAGTTTTGGGACCTTGAACCTGCAGGAGAAATCTGGAAGAAGCTCCTGGATTCTGGCTTTGGATCAGCTCATTTCTGGCCATTGCGACCCTTGGAGAGTGAATCATCCTTCTCTTGGAAATCTGCCTTTCCAATGACAATAAATAAATCTTTTAAAACACACACACACACACACACACACGCGCGCACACACGCGCGCGCACACACGAAAACACCACAAGAAATGAATCTTGGATTTCTCTTGCATGACATTCAGTTGTTTGCCACAAGGTGGCGATGAAGCCTTGACTACAGGCTCCTTTTCTGCAAGGTTGGTGGAATGCAGAAATAAAGCTGAATTCCGGACTTGCTTTAAAACAAAACAGAACAACAACAAAGTCAGCACTATTGCCTCTGAGATAATATAAATATCGATAGACCTTAATGATTCGGGATGCATAGGAAATTTCAGAATCATTTTCCACTTGAAGTTATAAAGAGACACAAGGCGGTAGCTGGGACTTCCTTACCAGATTCTTAGAGCTATTGCTACTTTTTGTTAAAATTTTTACCCTTTTCCAGTTCTCTGGATGACTCAAAAAACCCAAAAAAACCACTGGAAGTTCTGCAGCAAATTCTGCTTCTTTAGCCACTTGGTTTTTTGACCTTACAGTGATTTCCCTTAAGTTAGTGTCAAAGAGAGATCAAAGTTGACTTCTGACAAACTCTGAAGTGGCACAAGTTGCCTGTTTTCTGCAGTAGATCTATTTGCTTTATTTTTGAAAGGCAGAATGGAGAGGGAGAGAGAGAGAATGAAAATGAATATAAGAGAATCTTCATCCACTAATCTACTCTCCGAATGGCCAGAGTGACTGGGCCTGTGTCCTCCTGCAGATCCGGGTCCCCCACATGGATCATGGAACCCTAATACTTGGGCCATCTTCTGCTGGTCTCTTGGGTGCATTAACTGGGAGCTGGATCAGAATTGGAACAGCTGGAACACCACCCGTGCTCATAGGAGATACCGCCCTCGAAGGTGGCAGCTTAGCCCACTGTGCCAAAATGCCAGCCCCACAGCTTGCTTTATACAGAAACCAAAATGTTTATTTACAACCTGACATTTTCCTCCCCAAATATGAGGTGGCCTCAAGAAGTATGAAATAGGATAAGTTAGGAAGTTATAATAAAGGAGAATCAAAAGTAAGTTAAAAAAAAGTAATGATAAATGAATGTGCTTAATATTTATTGGAATTGTGAAAAGTTAGAAACAATATAAGTTTGTATGTGCAGATGAAATCATTTATGGTACATCTACATGGTGCAATTCCACACAAAGAAGAGAAAGAATGGTGCAGCTTTTTCAGTTCTGAAATAGAAAGCTATTTAATAATAATAAACAGTGTCATGACAGTTGTTTAGCTTAGCAGCCCAGCTGCCTGGATTGAAGCACCTGGGTGTGATCCCCGCCTGGCTTCCAACTCCATCTTCCTGCCTCTTGGGGACCCTGGGAGGCTGTGGTAATGGTTTAGAGCAATTGGGTTCCTGCCCTCCTATTGGAAACCTAGATTGTGCTTCCAGTTCTCAGCTCCAGCCCACGTTCCACTGGTGCCTGTCTGGGGCCGTGAAACACGTGAGGGTGGAGATCTCTCTTTTTCTGCCTCACAAATAAATACATTAAAAAAAATTTTTTTTAAGAAGAGTATGTTAAAAAATGTGTATAGTATGATTGCAGTTTTGTAATTATCATGTACATACATATCCATGTGTGTATCCAGAAATCATAAAAATGCACCGTATCATGTGCCATTGCTAATGACTCACTATTGATTATAAAAGAGGAGGTAAAATTCACTTATTCTCTGCGTTCAAAGGAACCCAAGATGTAAAACCAACAGAACTCCAGCTTTTTCTGCACTTGAGGGGACACAATAAACATTTCTGACACCGGTAGTATTTTCGGCTGTGTCGTGACAAGATCATGGCGTGACTCCAGTGTAAAATTCAGCAAGACAGTTCCGTGAGGTTACAGAACAGTGTAGTTAAATGCGGTTTTCTAAACATTTGCGTGGATCTGATAGTGTATATTAGAGTATCAGGCAGAAAGTTGGGTTGGTATCTTATTCAAAGAACCCATGACTTGGGACCTTTTTCTTTGACATATTCCAGCAGTTTCTCATCCTGGTTGCACAGAAAGCGGTCGTATTTGACGGCATGAACTTACTCTAGTAATTAGTGATTATGGCTTGGGTTTCAGTTCCCTAAGATCCTCTCCCCAGTGCCCTCGTCCAAGGTTGAGTGGATCCCCCAGCTCGGCACATCTTCGCTTCTGTAGCATTATAAACCTGCCGTCCCCGTGGGAAGCTCTGCGTCTCATTTGTAAATTGTTTGTGAAGTCCTATATGGTATGCATAAATTTGTAAGACTTCTGTGTTGTTTTTTTTTATATAGATGATAGATTATATATTGTTATGGAACTTATAGAAGGTGTTCCACTGGGAGAGCATTTTAGCTCTTTGAAGGAAAAACAACACCATTTTACGGAAGAAAGACTATGGAAAATATTTATACAGGTATGTTCTTATTATCAACACATTTTTCATACTATAGCAAACTTTTGTTTTTTTAAAGAACAACTAAAGTTCTGAGCTCATTTCTCAGAAGCATATGCGAAAGTCGTCACTGGTCATATGTATGTATGGTTATATATGTATCGGGGGAAATAAAAATCTGTTTTTTTATCTTTGTTTCAAGCTTTGCTTAGCTCTTCGGTATTTACACAAGGAGAAGAGGATTGTCCACAGAGACCTGACCCCAAACAACATTATGTTGGGGGATAAGGACAAAGTGACAGTTAGTAAGTATGAAAGCCTGAACTTTTTCCAACTGAATAACTTTTTTTTTTTTTTTAAATCCTTATTCTAGAGTTGTGTCCAGTAGAACTTTGAATGTTCAGGGTAAGATTCTCCTTCTGGGCTTTCGAGTGCGGTAGCCATCAACTACTTTGAGCCATACGTTGAACACTTGGGCAATGGCTAGTATGACCGAGGAGGTGAAGTTTTAATTTTATCAAATTCTAATTCCCTTAGATATCTTTGTGTGATTAGTGTCTGACACTGGAAGGCCGCAAGTGCAGTTTGAAGTGTTTAAGTTGCATTTTGCTTATCTTGAAAAACGTAGCCTTTGGATGCTTGGGTATTTAATTCCCAAGCCGTCGTCTTCCAGGTGTTTTCTTTCTGTGGCATACTGGCTCTTCAGGAAAAGCTTTATGACAACCAGGCAGGCGTACCACTTTGCCTCAGAGATGACAGATATCCATACTGAGGACCGGAAGCAAATTTACTCGTTGGTGTCCTTTCAACACCCGGTTTTTATCGCACTGCTTTCCTCCGTGGCAGAGAGCCCAAGAGTAGATAAAACTTTACCAATTAGAACATATATTACAGTTTCCCCCATAGTTGCCTAGTTCTCGACCATGACTTAAAATTTAAACTTAGATTGTTCCCCTTTCTCCTACCTTCTTCACTTCTGAGCAGGCGTGTTCCTCTTACGCGTTTTGGTAGTTCACCGATGATGAGTTCCTGAACCAGTGGAATCCAGGAGGTTTTGATCATGACATTGCACTAGTAAATGTTTTTCTTTTGAGAAGATGCTGCCGATACAGATATCTTTATGTATACAGTTGATACATTTTTTTTTGCTAGAAGATGAAGTTTCATTAGTTCATAATAACTTCTGAAGAAATAAAATATAAAAGCAAATGCTTAAAAACCACTATATATGAAGTCACCCGGGGAGTTGCCGTAGGCACCTGCTTTGGAGACCTCCTGTTCTTGATGTTCTTGATATGAGCGAGACATCTGACAGCATCCAAAGTTAACTGCTTTCGTTTTAAAAATCTGATTTCTCATGAAGATGATCCTAAATGTGCGCGTGCACCATACTCACACATCTTCAGGAATAATAATTCATTTTATGACCTAGATTTTTACAAGTAGAACATCCTGAATTTGTTTTTTTAAAATAAAAGCGACCTAAAATAAAAGCTCAGTGTAAGTCTCAGTGCAAAATTACTTGGAAACAGCAAGAAAGAAGAAAAAGGTCAAAGAATGATGGAAGTTCACCTTAGACATACATTTGCTTTACCACTAACTTACACTTGCTTTACCGTAAACTTTTTTCTTTTTTTCTTTTTTTTAAAATTTTTATCTTTTAACAAATTGGACTTGGGTTTCCTTAGGAATATTACCCATTTACATGTAGATATTACAATTTATGTTATTAAGAGTTGTTATATATTGGATATTGGATTTCCATTTGGATTGCTTCAAAATCTGTGTAATCTTCAGCCCGTATTTCCCGAGTAATAAGCCAAACCCACATTTCATTGTATTACTGAGATTAGCTATATTTGCCTCTTTTGGTTACATTTGAATGTACTGAGTTTAAACCTTGGTAGAAATCGCCTGATTTCCTTATCAATTTATTAACTTTCATATTTACATTTACTTTCCTTAAGAAGCCTCATATATCAGAATGCCAAAAATTTTAGAGAAAAACAAGTTTCTAGTACCACTGCCTTTTTATAAATTTTTTTTTTTTTTTTGGTTTTTCATGATATAGTTCCTTAGGTCCAGGGATTTCTCCTTCCACATGCCTCCACCCTCTTCTCGCCATTTTTTGCCTATAAGGAGAAAATGTTTTTCCCTATAAGGTAACAATTAGCAGCAGTCACAAGTCCATCATTCTGCTATCAGAGTGTACATGGTAGGTACAGAGAGAGAATGGTATAAAGCACAGCATTCTGTTGTCAAGATACATTTAACAGTTTCATTGGGAGTCCTTCCTTTACTCAGAAGTAGACATGCATGCTGTAGTGTGTCTCTAATTCCTGGTAGACTTGACTCCATTACACAGATTCTCTGGATAAATATATGCATATAAATGTTTACCTAACATCGATTGCTCTTGCATTTTGCGTGTAGGTTGCCTTGTATCAGAGAGAATATATGATATGTGTCCTTTTGGGATTGGCTTCTTTTTCTGAACCTGATGTCCTCTAGTTGGGACCGTTTGCAAATGTAGAATTCCATTCTTTTTAACGGCTGAGTCGTATTCCATAGAGCAGATATATCACAGTTGGTTTAGCCATTCCTCTTTACCCTGTCATCTAGGCTGTTTCCATGTTCTTGCTATTGGAGATTGTGCTGCTGTAAACATAGGAGTGCAGGGCCACGTTCTCATATGCAGATTTCATTTCCTTTGAATATATTTCCAGAAGTAGAATAGCTGGGTGTACAGCGGGTTAATTCTCCATTCACTGAGCTTTCTGTATACTAACTTCAATAGTGGCATACTAGGCTACACTCCCACCGACAGTGAAACAGGGCATTTTCATCCCCCCATCCACGCCAGCAGGTGTTGTTCGTAGAGTTTGGAATGTAGGCCAGTCTCACTGGACTTAGATGGAACCTAAATGCGGTTTTCATTTGTATTTCCCTGATGGCTAAGGAATCTGAGCATTTTGTTTTGTATATGTCTGTTAACCATTTGAATTTTCTCCTTTGAAAAGTGTTCAATGCCCTTGTCTGTTTCTTCACAGGGTTGTTTATTTTGCTGTCACTGGGTTTCTGAAGCTCTTTGTAAATCCCGACTATTAGTGCTGTATCAGTTGTGAGGTGGACAAGAGTTGGTCCCATTGTGTTGGTTGCTTCTTCACTTTGTTGATTGGTTCCTTTGCTTTTTAGTTTGATGTAGTCCCAGTAGCTTATTTTGGTTGGGACTGCCTATTCTTTTGGTGATTTTTCTATGCAGTCTTTGCCTATGCCTCTACCTTGGGGGTTCCTGTGTTTTCTTCCAGTAGTTTGATGGCTTTTGGGTGCAGATTTAGGTCCTTGATCCATTCAGAGCTGATTTTTGTAGAAGGTGAGACATGTGTGGGTTTGAGCTATTTCCTCTTGCCTCTGCAGGCTTCTATCAGATTTTCCCAAGAGTGTTTGTTGAAGAGACCAACGTTACTGCCAGGATTATTTTCAGTACTGTTGTCAAAGATTAGTTGGCTGTACATGCGTTTCTAGACATTTTAGCTTTATAAGAGTCAGTAATTTCCCGATTTCAAATGAAGAGGCAGTGATAAATTTTATCTTGGAATCATATCCTAGTTCAGTATCTTTCTAATAAAGTAATTGTATGGAGAGGACATTGAAGTGCTACAGTTATTTTCGCTGAATACAAAAAGGCTTTATGATCAAAAATTTAATCTACAAAGATTTGATACGACTATCTGAAAAATCTAATATAATACTATTCCTGGATTTTTTTCAGTGTCACTGTTGATATAAAAATGGCCATTATACTCTTATTTTTAAGGGTGGTGGTAGCAAAATTTACAGTCTTTCAGCATTAATGTAATTTTAAGTGTATAAAATTTCCATATTTGGGGAGGTTGAAAGACAGCTGTAATTCATCAAGTTTATGGAAGCCGACTGACTGCGGTGTGTAATGAGGGCTGACACCACTAGGGGGAAGCCTTGTCATCTTAGCTGACTGACTGCGGTGTGTAATGAGGGCTGTCACCACTAGGGGGAAGCCTTGTCTTCTTAGCTGACTGACTGCGGTGTGTAATGAGGGCTGTCACCACTAGGGGGAAGCCTTGTCATGTTGTATTTTTCTCTTCCAGAAAGTTTTACTTCCAGAAGAAAGGACAGAATTGTTAAATTATACTTCGGATACACGGGACTGAAACAATGTAAAGACAAAAAAGAACTTAGGGAAAACCAATTTTTCTTTTTCCTTTTTTCATTTTTTAAATACTGAGGTTGGTCTGTAGTTGTTGATCGTAGGCATGCTGAGAGTTTGTTCTCGTAAAGAAGCGTAGCACAAAACATGAACATGGCCAGGGAGGTATAGTTTTATGAATGTTATCTGTTTTAAACCTTTGAGTCTATTTCCATCTGACAAGCCGTCTTGGAGAGCATATTCCTTGACCTGCATTGATCTGTAGCTTTTGAGGCCACACAAGGAAACGCCCTGTGGCTCAGTGGTTCACCGGGCAAAGCACACAGTCCTCTCTAAGTGCTGCAGCCTGCCGAGGGAGAACCACCTAGCGCTGCTGAGTTACAGAATGACTCTGAAAGCAACCGGGTAAAAAGGAGCTTCACCTTAAAAATCATCACATAGTATCTTTTTGTCTTTTCAAGTAGCCATATTTAGTGTAAATTCTTCGTGTTCTCTCTGCTCTACTGCTCCCAAATAAAATAGAAAGAAAAGGAACAAAAAAGCGAATTCAATTATAAATTATAGCTCTTGGGCATAGGCTCTTGTGTCTTGGGGGGTCATATGTTCATCCTACAAATACTGTCCATGTGTTTATTTCTTCACTGATATTTGGCTGCTGCTGGTTGTTCTCATTAAACGCGAACTTCCTTTATTCAATGTAGCATTCATCAGAGGCTTGACTGCTCTTCCACCGCCTCTCCCATTCAGCGTGTTGCAGGGAGGAACATAGGATGGAAAGCCCTGGGTTTTTGCCACCTGAGCTCACGGCCATGTGTGGAAGACTTTGAGTTATTCACTCAGAAATCATTGCCTGGGCTGCCCCATTTAGGAATGAGCAAGATGGGATGGAAGACCAGTCCCTTGTCTTTGTGAAGCTTCTAATTACATGATGGGATGGCGAAGGTGAGACTGACTGTTCAAAACAGCCTTGTTCTCATCAGGATAGCTTTGCTGCAGTACCAGGCAGCCCGGGAGTCTCAGAAGCTTAAAATGGTGGCAGATCACAGCCTATGGGACAAATCCAGTCATGGCTTGATTATGACAAAGGGACTTCCGAAAGTTCAGGGGAAATGTAATGAA